GAAAATTTCCTGCTGTCTTTTACTGTTAATCATCTTGCATCCTTTGGTGGGGGTTGGGAACCACAGCGCTACATAATAAGATCAACTGTATATTATATTACACATTATCATCTCTCCTAAGGAAAATTAAGACATGTCCCTCTTGTAGCACTTTAATTATCTTTCACCAACAGAAAAAAAGCCTACTAATTAAATTCACCTCATTATTACAGTTTTTAAAAGCACTCACTTGTTCCCCAGCTTCTTGCATCTCTCCATCATCTCCGTTAGCAGAGGCTGAAATGGAAACACAGTTTTGACTAAGCCCGACTTTTTCCACTACAGCTACTAAAAGCTGACTATTTTTGCCAACATTGTGTAAGTGCGTGCCTCTGGAGCTCTGTAGGCGATGCACTGCAGGATCCAATTGATGGCGGGCGAATAAAGGGTCAGGTACTCGGGTACCTCCACCCTCTGCTGGACCAACTGGTTCTGGACGCTCTCCCCGCTGACCTGACGGAAGGTGCCGAGCAGGTCGAAGAAGTTGCGGTTCAGGCTGTCTTTCAGGTGGGGGGCGACCTCCATGCCCACCTGGAGGGAGAGAGCACTGTTAAATCTGGACCCTGAACTACTTTTTGTCTCTTAAGCATAATAATAATGTTAAGAAATGAAGGTTTCTCTGGATACATGAAATAAAATTGAAATGTTATGCTTTAATATAGTCCATAAACACAGGAAATGTTACTCTTTTGCTGGTTAAAGTTAAAGGGTGAGCAAAAAGATTTAATTCATCCTGGAAGAAAATTCTTTTTTTGAATTTGACAGAAACAGACCATAACAATGGGCCAACAGATAAGAAAAGACTTAGAAACAAGAAAAGGGAGATATAATCTAAGAAAAAATGAAGGATGGAAGGAAAGAGTTGAGCACGTCTCACCCTGCAGAGGTACGCTCTGGTGTACGCTGCCACCAGAGGGTCTCCGATCCCTCTGATCATGGCTGTCAACCGAGGGAGTGTCTCCTGAATACCGCTGTGGAGGGTGAAGGCAAACTGAGTTTTTTTCCCAAATAAAGCTCTTAAGCAGAAATGGCTGATCTGCAAAATTACTTTATGCAGACCTTAACGGAAAAGTGGCGAGCAAAGGCTGACTGTTAATGCCCATGAGGGAAAAACGTACGTTTTGTTCAGGAAGCGGTTGCACTTGAGAATGGCAGCCTCAACGTATCTGTTCACAAAGGTTAAGGAGTCAGATTTACACACAAGTAAAGAGTGGGTCAGGGGATTGTTCAGGGGATTTCATGGACACAACCTTAAATCTAAAACAAACAAACATCCGACAAACAAATGTATGACTGGAAATAAACAAGAGGGCAGATAAAGGGAAGCTGGTAAAGGATACAGTCTGGGCAGAAGCTCTCTGATGGAGGCGATCTTGAAGAACCAGTTGAGGCACGTCTCCTTGGCCGTGTCATTCACATCATCAACTGTGAACGAGTCTGAGGACGGAGGAAAGCAAGCGGATCAATCAGAGCCAGGGACAACATATATCCACCAAGTGCATCCTCAGAAGCTAGAAAAAAAAAAGGTCTAAATGCTGCAACTCTGAGCTGATTCAATTTGGCAGGATATGAGAAAGTTAAATGAAACAGCCCATACGCACCTGGTAGGGGTCTTGGGTCTGAACACATGGTCCAGATTCTATCGTACACCAGTCGGCCTACAAACCAGCGAGACTACAGTCAGAAAACATGCTTTTTTCCCCCCTAAACTTAGAAAAACAAAGTTTTCTTACGCACCGAAAGTGTCAAGGATATCAGTGATGAGAACAAACTTGCTGGGGTAGAACTGGATCACGGAGGTGTCGGACAGAAGCTTAGAACACTGAAACACAGATCACAGATCAGTGCTGATGATGTGACACAGAAGAAAGAAAGAGAGGCAGCTTTTTTCCCCCGTTATTCTGGGGATGAGTGTTTTCAACTGCTGGATTACCTGGATGACGATCTTCAGGGCTTTGACCTTCTGGTCCGAGGCCCAGGCCTCCTTCAGGGACTGGTTCAGCTCCTCGATGCGGTTGGCGTAATCCTGCTGGGAGAGGTTGAGCAGCTCTCTCTGGGAACCCTGCACACACATACACACAGGAAGGTCCAAAATACACCCCTGCTCTCATATGGATTCATCATTGTGTTGAACTAAAATGATGTTTTACCAGGACCAATGGACCCAGTCAGCTATACAGGAGCACACATACACTACAGACACACACAAGCCTGTTCTCATGTGAACTTATAGTCAGAGACGTACCTCCTCCAGATCATCCAGTTCCTCCAGGCGAGTACGAACTTTCTCTGAAACAGCTGAGGATCCTGGACTTGGAGCTTTTCCTGCGGTGACAGCAGTGAGATCTGTTAGCCTCTGACCGCAGTGAAAACACACACAGCCTCTCTATGGTTTTTTTAGAGACTTTTTTGGCCAATTTGGGCAGCACAACATGCTGTAAACACAACAACAATATAGTATCGCCTTACAAAGTTGATATGGCTAACATGTTGGCAAACTTTTGCCTTTTTACACCCAACAAATTAAAAGTCCTTTTAGGTCTGTTTTGGTCTCCATCAACTCCTGAGAATTTGATCTTAATATAAATATACTCATTATAGTAACTTGGTGGTGCAGATATAGCCTCAATTCCTACAACTCGTTTTGATTTTGATATGAAAAAGGAAAAAGGTCTATTATGATGAATACAAACACAGGTCTTACCTTTATCAGAACCCATGAAAAGATTCTATGAAGACAAAAGAAACTGGAATTTATTTCTGTCTTACAAAGCAAGGCTGTGAGCACAGTTTCAACTAACTTCTTTACTTTGGGACGACTCACAATGGAGAGTTTTTCTGTGGTGGTGAACCTGGCCAGGATCTCTCCTCGTTTTGATGACCAAGGCTCAAAGTCTGGACCCACCACCTCTTCCTCCTTCTCCCTCTTCTTCTTCCCCAGGTCCTGGAAGCACAACATTAAAAAAACAAGTTTGGATATCATCTTCTCTCCACTTGTTGTGTGTGTGTGTTTTTTTTATTTATTAAATCAGGGTGGAAAAGTATCTGGAGCAGCATTTGACTGACTATCATCTATCACTTTGTCTGCTCTGAACTGACCCCTGTGGAGGCGCTGTGCGTCATGGCAGGAGCCTCGCTGACAGAGGCCGCTGCAAACATGGAGAGGGGGTCGGTCCCATCCAGCATGGAGCTGAGGGGGTCCGCGGGGGCTGAGGAGGAGGACGAGGAGGACGAGGAGGTGCTACCTTTACGAGCCCCACGGCGGCTCTTTGTATCCGTCACCTGGGAGGAGAGGAGTGGGGGAGGTCAGATTATGGTTCTCAAAACCGAGATGATGGAGGGACTGGTGCAGATATCATGAATCAGAGATCAATCATTTCTGAATGCGTGTGTGCAGAGCTGATAGTGTTTGTGATGAACAGTAGGAAGACAGTGACAACAGCAGAGGGTCTACCATGATGGGTTTGAGGGGATGGTAGTCTCCAAACTCAACCGGAGCAGCCTCAGGACGACATCTCTGCAGCTCGGCCTCATAGTTGCGCCCTCGGGAACGCCTTGTTACACAACAGACAGACAGGAGACATCCTTCCAGTCACCATGGGGCTTTACATTTAACATACTGTCTATTTACAGTTACTACAACTAACACTCTCTGTGTTTAAGGCTTATTATCTGCAGTGGAAAGAACTGATTTAGTCTCATTAGGATCTGAGAACTTGCTTCAGACACAAAGATGAAGGTCTGTGGTGGCAAAACACAGCCAGCTACCATCATTGCTTCAGGACTACCAAGATACCAAAGATACTCAGTATCTTTATGCGCTCTGGCTTTGACTGTCAGACAGCATCTGTAAACTGGAACAACTCAGAAAGAAAGAGGCCTGGCACACCGATCATATGTTAAAGCTGCTACTTGTGAGACAGACTGACAATACATCCTCACAAATGAGAGCATTTACATTTAAATCTAGCTGAATGTGAGAGTGCTACAAAACCGCTGGAATAACTTTTAAGGCGTACAACCTAACCACAGTCAAAGAGGGCTTTTGATTTAAGGCCACAGCTGTAATAACACTTGTAATGGTAATGCTATGCTGAAAACCTGCAAAAGAAAGTTGACATTTCTTTTCGGAGGCTAAAATACAACTAAGCTCGCGATAAACGCATTTGCTCTGCGTGTACGTTATTAAAATACACAATATGTATATATATGCATGATTTAACCGATTTCTGTTGATGATACGGAGTGATTTTAATTGAGAAAAGAGCATCTTACCACTGCACCGCAGCCATTTTTCTACCATCATATGACACCTCAGTACTTCCTGGTTATCCTAAGTTTTAATAAAGCTCAGTTTTTAGTTTCAAATTGTCGGTCAGGTAAATATTTATTGTTGTCATATTAAGGACTGCTACTATTAACACGTAACGTGGAGTTATTTGGTCGTTTGTAACAACTACAGCGTGAATTACGGGGACGTTTTCATGAACTGTTACAGCAAAATACAACTTCATTTCCCAGGGCGCATTGCGGGCAAGCGAGCTGCGGCCGAAGAGAAAAAGAAGATGAAGAGGTCTCACTTTGTAGTTATTTTTCGGGCACTAAACCCTTCTAGTGTAACTTTTCGTTGTCTAACATAACGGGATATTTGGAGCAAATTAACTAAACTGGTTTACTAGTGATGGACAGTAGTTGACCTCAATGCTACATTTCACCTAAAAAACGAATTTTCTCCAGTGGCCAGATTATCCGACCGGAAGACGTGTTTTTCTACAGTTGAGTGAAACATCTGTTGAATAGACAATCTTCGTGAGCGCCGCCGCTCTTTGCTGCGGGTCTGCAGCAGCAGTCAGCGGGGACTTTAGCTAAAGGTTTAACTTGAGCATGACCTGACCGTAGAGCTGTAGGCTTGTCCGCCCAGTACACCTGACCAGGTACAACATGTCAATCTCAAGGTTGGTCCGAGTTGGCTTGGTGTACTGTATTTATTTAAAACGGCTTTTAACATGGGCGGGTTGAAGGTGGCTGGAGGCAGCTAGCAGTTAGCTAACGTTAAAGCCGGTTAAAGCATGACACATTGTATCTAACAGGAGGAATGGTTTCATCTACTGTTTGACACCATGAGATATCTAACTACTTATAAGACTTGATAGTAGGATTCAGTCTGTCAGTGTGAGCTATCTTAATGTGGACATTTGTTACATTGTTTTATGTCATGCCCTCATTTAGACAAAGATCTGATCTGCTCTATGTACTGATGTCTAACGATGGCTTTCACACAGTATATGGTACAAACTGCAGGGTGGATGATATAACCTGAAGGAACAGTATCCAGATTGTATGTTCATTTCACTCAGCTATAAGTGATTCAACAATTGCATCAGTTGACTGTAATGTGCCTTTTAGACTGGAAAATTAAGTTAGTTAAGTGCTCATATCATATTACAGTTTCATTAGTAGTTAATCTGCACATTATTTTTATATGTAACAACTAATAACTCAGTCTATAATATGTCAGAAAATAGTGAAAAATGTCCAAATAACTGCCCAAAGCTCAAGGTGATGTCCTCAGATATCTCCATCCCGAAGATATTCAATTGACAATGAAATAAATCAGAAGAAAGCAGCACGTTTTCATACTGAAGAGGCTGGAACAGGATGTTGTCTGTCTTGAAAAGTGACTGAAATTATTCATTGATTGTCAAAATAGCTGCCACTTCATTTTCTGTCGATCACTTATACACTTGTTTCTGCTCTACATAATATCCTAATAGTCATAATGGCCAGTCACATGTCACAATATTGATAAGAGATAGTCTAGTTTAGATTTAATGTTGAGTTTATGCCACATTCTAACCTACCTAATATAGTATGTACGTGGCATCAGAAGTACTGTAGTGATTTCTGTCTTCAGACTGCTTTCCGATATATCAATAAGCATGTTAATATTAGTTTACTGCAGTCTTTTCCCATCAACAGCTAAGGGGAATTTAAATGTTATATTGTATACTTCCACTGTAATAAGATCAATGATCATATTGAAGCGGCGGCTTGTTGAGGTCTAAAGCCTGTCTACAAGTTAGCCGACACATCTTCCTCCACTTTACTCAGATAGACTGAGACAGCAGGACGAAGTGAAGCTCATTACAATGAGACACACAGGCAGTGATCTTCCTGTCCTCTAAGACCAGATTTAGGGAAGCGGGTTGCCATAGAGACTGCGGTGCCCTGCTGTGTGCCACTCTCTCATGTTCTTACTGTCTCTGCCAGGTACCAAACATGGAGATGGATTTTACGCCTTTTTAAAGTCCTATTTAGTCAGCCAACAGGCTGTCTGTGCAACGAGCAGAGGTGTTGCTGCATGTGTCCTCACAGGGTGGTACATTTTTCATATTTATTTTCTCTTCCACTTACATCATGGTGTTGATCACGGTAGCCATTGCATCCTGATTGTTTAACTCGATCTGTATTTCTGACTGGGATTTTGTTAGCTCTGTTTTTTCTGGATTAACTGCTCTCTTTTTGATATCTGCCATGAGGAAATCCAGCAGATTTTCTGGTAGTACCAAGTGTAGCCTGTTTAATCACCAATTACAATGCTGATTAGAGGTCTGGAACAGATGTCAAATGTATGGGAGCCCATTTCTGCCAGCAAAAAAAAAAAAAAGAAAGAAAGAAAAATGTTTGGAATTACAAATATAAAAATAATCAAAATTATATGATACTAAATCAGAATTATGAGACCGAGTGCGTTTTCAAATCTGTGTTGTGCGTTTGCCCTTTTGGTACAATTATTTTTGGTGTAGACGTGATCCAACCTCAATCTGACCCAACTACAAGAATACGTTTGAAAATACGTGATCACATAATAACTAAAAGTCTGACTTTGTGTTTCATACAGAGCTGAAGGATTAGTCCATTAATCGATCAACAGAAAATTTAACAGCAACAATAATGATTTGAATGATGATTTTCAAGCAAATATGTTCTGGTTGCAGCTTCTCACGCGTGAGAATTTGTTGCTTTTCTTTGAATTGAATATATTTGGGTTTTGGGTTTTGGACCGTTGGTAGGACAAAACAAGCATTTTTATGACTTTGTCAACTTGCCTTCTGGGAAATTGCAGTGTGGATTTCTTCATATATTATATACCAAACCAACTTCTAATTGATTAGTAGAGCAGTGGAGAATGACAAGAGATGCATCGGTTTCATTCCAGTAATTTTTAAAACAAGAAAGCCAAACATTATCTGTGTTAGCGTCTTAAATGTGAGAATTTCTTTTTTGTCAGATATGATAGTAATATAAAACTATTTGGGTTTTGGCCTGATATTTGGATAAAAGAGGGAATTGTAAGATTCATCTTGGACTTTAGAAATTATAATGGGAATCTGTCATTTGTTTTTATTTATTTTCTGACATTTTTTATACAATATACAGAATAATCTGCAGATTTATGGATTGGAATATTCATTGCATTAACAATGACCCATGACTTTTTTAACTTTTTATCAATTTGTTTCCTGGCAAAACAGGGCTTCCATACATCTGTGTAGAGTAATTACATTAATGTTATCGAATTAATGTGGTCATGATTTATTAATGTTGCACCTTTTAATGAATGGAAAACCTATCTGTGTCATCATGTCTGACCTTGACAGATGGGACATGAGTCACATGTTTCTCTACAGGGTATAGTTGGATCACTTTTTGCAGGTACAATCTTTTTTAATGTGTCTGCAAAACAACAAGAATATAAAACGAGGTTTGCAGTGGTCAAGTAGCAGATTGATAGAAAGAGGACAGATTGTTTGCAGGCTTCACTGTTATGTCTATTAAAGGTCCAGGATTAGCATCTCTCATTATTAATGCCATGCTATTTGGGAGAACCTGAACAAGCCTTATCTGTGAAACTAATACTCACTTTCATGAAATGATGCCCTGGATCAGGTAGCCACTTTATTTCCTTCTTAAGACATTCATCCCTTTGCATTTCCCTCTTATAAGGTTACCACTCTGCATCTCCCCTGCATGTTTCTAAGAGGTTTTTGGCCTGGAGACGTGGATTTGCTGTGAATTATTTACAGGAGAAGTTTATTTGTCAGAGCTGATGGGGGTAGCTCATTACCTGAGAGCCACTGTCCTTGTTTCCTATAACGTGTGTCACACAGAAGATGCTTTCACCGAACTTGAATGACTAGTGCTTTCTAGGAAAGAGAGCACTTTATTGGTGTACGAGTCCCTTGTCCTGCCTTCTGCTTCTTCTCTCGTATCTGGCTCACTAGCCATCCGGTTGGTGAACTTTTCAGATACACTCAAAGCTCTCACACCTTCTCCTTAAGGACGCAGAGATGGCAATGGAAACCTCGGCGGTCGTCCGGCTACGCTACGAAGAGCTGCTGTTTTACGCGGCTTGCGTTTGTAACTGCTGGTGTCTGTTTCTGTGTGTTTGTGTGTGTCTGGAGGGCAGAGTGTGTAGGAGAGGAGGTGGCGGTGGCATGCGTGTGGGCAGCAGCTGGAGATGGCAGCTGTCGCGGGCCATGCGACTAGCACTGCGCTGGTGCCGACTCTGCCGCCCACAGAGGGGAGGCCGAGGCGCAGGGGCCAAGCCGTGGATCAGAGGCAGGGTTTTGGAGCTGTGGAGCTACAGCAAGCTACTGCTGAAGTCACTGTACTTCAACAGCCTCACCAACTCGGACACTCTGCTGGACTGTGCGTTTGAACCCGTCTACTGGATTGTGGACAATGTGACCCGCTGGTTTGGAGTGGTGAGCTGTTGCATTTCTATTGTGGATGCTTCTCGACCTCCAAACTACGCTCCCTCACCCACTCTTGTCTCTCCCTCCCAGGTGTTTGTCTGTCTAGTCGTAATGCTCACGACCTCAGTTTTGGTCATCGTCTACCTGTTCGTCCTTCCCACAATCCTCAGCACTTACCCACTGCACTGGGTCATCTGGCACCTCTGCTGTGGCCACTGGCTTCTTGTCATGGTGGTCTTCCATTACTACAAGGCCACCACCACCTCCCCAGGACACCCACCCAAGGTACCAAACTGCTCAGGAAAATACTGACATGATGCAGCAAGATTTGTGCAGTACTTGCTCCCACAAGGTTAGATTGACTTCTTCTGTTCCAGTGAGACAATAATACAGCCTTCTATTTTATGTTCATTTTAGGACAAAATGAATATTCCCTCAGTGTCCATCTGTAAGAAATGCATCACTCCAAAACCTCCCAGGACACACCACTGTAGCATCTGCAACATGTAAGATAACCAAACAATAATTCTCATGCACAGTTTGTCTGGTTTTTGTCATCTTTTTTAACCCTTCATGGTAAACTGTCTCTCTTGTATTTAAAGGTGTGTTTTGAAGATGGACCACCACTGTCGTATCCTTCTAACAAGCAACACACAAAACCAAAAGAAAATGCATGAAAAATTATACTTTTTTGTTAACTTTTTAAAAGTTTTACATTTTATTTAAGCTTCCCACTTTGTAAAAGTTGAACTGAACATGTTTCCAGCCTGGGTGAACAACTGTGTGGGCCATTTCAACCACCGCTACTTCTTCTCCTTCTGCCTATACATGACACTGGGGTGCATCTACTGCAGCATCAGCAGCAGGGACTTGTTTATGGAGGCCTACAGTGCCATAGAGGTGAGGCTCTTTAACCCCCCAGACTACTGCCACCTCACACACAAACCCTGCTGTTATTTTTGTTAGCATATAACTGGATTTATTTACTCTTCTGATGAGGTTCGGCGAGGTGTTGCTAATGGTACGAGTAGAGACAATCCAGTTGGCGATGAGCTATGAAATGTTTGGTCCATTGGCACCTGCCAGACGGTAATAAGAAGGCAGAAGTCGAGCTCAGATGGCAAATGACAAGCGAAACGGGAGACATGCGAAAAGGATCTTCGCTCTCTGCTCTCATATTTATCTGATCCAGGATGGTCTTATCTCAACGGTGGTTGTGCACCAGCTGGTAAACAAACAACTCCAGGCCTCGAATACCAATTAGTTTGAAAGTCCTCCTCACCCCAAGATCACTTAATCAGGAATAGGATCCTGCATGTTAGACTTGTATCACATCCATATTGTAGAAGGTCTTTTGATCCTGAACCAAAATGCCCTCAGACAGCAGTGAGCTAAGACATCCTCAGATCTGACCTGAAAGTAGGGTTGCAAAATTCTGGGAATTTTCAAAGTTGGAAACTTTCCATGGGAATTAACGGGAATTAGCGGGAATAAATGGGAATTAATGGGAATAAACTGGATATTTTTAATATTGCTTGTTATAATACTGTTAGTCTATAACAGGGAACTTACATGTAGTTGAAAAGAAACATCTTGCAGGATAATCTTGCTGAAAACAACCTGATTTAATGCAGCTTCAGTTGAATGTCCTGCCTATATTCGTCAATGACATGCACACACGCAGTAATCAGCATAGGCTACTACATACTTGCCAACATTTATTTTTTAAAATATGAGATTCTTTTTTTTTGGGGGGACTCCCCTTACTATTAACCTATATAAATCAAAAGGCAGCATGCTAGCTACCATCATATGTTAAGCTAAAGGTCAATGGTTTGGGCTACTACTTATGGTGCTATCCATTTGTCTCGTAAATCCCCCGCCCGAGTTGCTCTGACGCGAGAATGTGATGTAATTGCCTGGCTTGTACCACTTATAGTGTTCCATTTGTCTTTGGGCATTATGAGTCAGAAAGAAGTGCAGCAGCTGTCTTGTTACTGCTTGTGGCTCATCTAAACAAGCTCAATGTGAAATAATAATGTTTTTCTACAGAAACACTGACATTTCAAGTAATTCTGTTATTGCAAGTCTTACATTTCAATAATATTTTGCCATTTTCGCCTATTTCATATCAACAAGTGCTGTGGCGTTTGTCTCGAGCCACCAGGGGCAGTGGCAGGCTACTGTTATTGTTAGCTACATTAGCCTATTTCGCAAACCAGCTCAAAAACAAAACTTTTCATTGTATTGCATGCACAGCAACACCGCGCAATGCATAAATTGGTGACCGGACTAAAGCAGCAATGTAAACAAGTGTGTAGGAGCATTTAAAATCGACATTAAAACAACCAACGTAGTACAAATACAAAGAAAATACATTTCAGTATTGTATGAATTACTCAACTTTTCCAGTTAATTCTCCTAAATTCCCCTTAATTCCCATTAATTCCCATAATTTTCATGAATTCCCATGAAAGTTTCCAAATTGGAATTCCGGAAAGTTTCCGGAAAATGTCCGCCCCTTTGCAACCCTACCTGAAAGTAAAATAACTATCTGACAAGAGTGTGAATACTGTCCCCTTCAGAGATATTATCAGACTCCTCCACCAACCGAAGCCTTGAGTGAGACCGTCGCCTCCAAGAGTGTCATCTTCCTCTGGGTGCTGACAAGGTAAAGAGCCTTTCACCACGCGTGTTCTCCCCGTGTTTAGAGATCAGATAAAGGTTGCTTACATCATGCAGACAGGTCATGTATTATTGTATTCCTCCCCCGGACAGCTCAGTGGCAGTAGCTCTGGGAGGACTTACCCTTTGGCATGTCATACTCATCGGCAGAGGAGAGACCAGCGTGGAGCGGCACATCAACCGCAAAGAGACCAAAAGACTACAGGAGAAGGGCAAGGTACATGTACTCTCATGCTGTCAGTATGGGGCCACTGTTAGCTTTGGAGTATAACAAACATGACTGCTTTTACTGGGCAGAGCACTCACATATATATAATTTAAACGACACAAAGCTTTAAGTGTTGAAAATACAACTTTGAAAATGGTTGTCAAAAGTTTCTCCTGTTCTCAGGTGTTCAGAAATCCATATCATCATGGTAGAATGAACAACTGGAAGGTACTGTTTGGTGTGGAAAAAAGGAGGTGAGTTCAGTTACCCATTGTCCTCAAATGGTGCCTGTATCATGATTGATTTGGCAACACCTGTGGTTACCGTGGTGGAAGCAAGTGAAGTTTAATACTACAGCAAACACTTTGTCAGTAATACAAAAGAAGAGTAATTGATGTATCTGTTTACAGTGCAGCCAAACAATGCATTAGCTTTAATGTGATACGTCTCTGATACGTTGTAGAGACAGTGAACTGTGGTTAGGAATGAGATAAAATTACACTGGATTACATACATGCATTGTTTCCTGTGAATCCCTTGTGCATGTGAAGGCAATCTGAATCTGAGCAGGAATGGCGGACTACGCCACTACAAATACAAATTGCTATATAGAGTGATGACAGAATAGAAATACACTGAAAAGCAATTGCACAAAAAAAATTACAAATACTATCAAACGCAGGGCTTGATTTCATGAAAAGCGTCACATTCCAGCTGAATTCTGATTGAGTTTTTTCATGTAAACCAATGTGTAAACACAGTTACAAACGCTCTTCAACCAGACTACATGTTTTAAAAAGCCCTTCTGTTCTTCAGTCACTGGTTCACGCGGGTCCTCTTGCCCTCCAGTCATCTTCCCAACGAAGACGGCATCATGTGGGACTGCACCTTCACCAGGAGAGACCCCATGGCCATCTGAGCCTCACCCTCTTACTCCACATCAAAAGACTTTTAACATGCATTTACACTAAAAGCAACAGGACTGATGTGTCATACTCTTGTGACCAGCTAAGAAGAGAAGCTCCAACTTCATCTGTTTTGATCGCTGCTACGACCATTTGAAACTTTGTCGTAAATCAAGAGCTTTTTGCTGCATTGGAACCACATGGATATAACCACCTGTGACTCCTTTTCTTAGAATCAGTTATCATTTCCCAGCTTTACACCTGCCACCAGTCGCCCTTGTACAGTAGGTCTAACTGTAGGCCATGCCAGCAGCAGACTGCAGTGCTGTTGATTCATTTTCTGTAGAATTGGTGCTGCTGGCCAGCATCATAGTCAAGACCAAACCCATTTGTACCCATTTGTAAAGACTCGACAAAAACTTTTTGTGCATTTCTTGGACTGAAAATCTTGCATCAACACCACAGCCTCTTAATTGTGTAAGATAGAAGGATGGGTGGGGGGGATACGGCAGTATGTGAGGAGAACAGCCGAGCATGTTGTTACAGCATCTTAAAGGTGCTATGTGTTGCATTTTCTAACATCAATACAGCACATTGTAAACTTTAGCATGAGTGGTAGCCGCCATCTTAATCCAGTTGTATTGCTAGTGCTTTCAAATTCAAACTGAAGTTGGTGTTGTTGTTTAATTAGATTTTTGGTTGAAGTAACTCAGTTTGACCACTAACAATATTAAATTAAAGGGTTCCTTTGAAATGTCTGTGAGCAGAGTGATACGAGGCAGCAGAGAGGGAGGTTTTACATTGTCTATGTTCAAATTGTTTATTGCAGCTTTAAGACTAAAATTCCCAGATACTTTTTTGGGGGCTTTTACTCTGTTAACTTTACCCTATTGAGCACCATCTTCCTGATTTCTGATAAAAAAAACAAATGCAGGACACCCCGGTAGCTCTCCTGGTAGAGGGTTCGATTCCAGCCCGAGCCCTTTGCTACATGTCGCTCGCTCTGCCTCTCCCCTGCCTTTCCTGTCACTCTAAATAATGCAGAAATGCCAAAAAGGACTCAAATGCAGATGGTCTTCTAAGAGAAGGTGTCATTTGTTTACAGTTTTAATGTACTTGTGATTCATTCGTGAGAAAATGCAAAACATAACACCATTAATGCTGTATTGAGCCTGGGCCTTGTTGCTTTTTTTAAGAGGTTTTTTAGTGTTGATTGTAGTTTGTCCATAGTAACTGTTTGTATGTGTCTTGGGCAGATTTGACAAATCCAAATTTTTCTTTAGGTGTGGAAGGAAAGTCCAGATAATTTCAATATTAATTTTTGATTTTGTTTGATAAATGTCCTGCGATGATTTAAATAATGTTATTTTAAGAAAGGGATTTAAGGTTTACTTTTCTGCTTGTTTACACCTGCAATATGTTGCTGTTGTGTTGTGTGCTGACGAGGTTGAGAACCACTGCTGTGAACTGATGTTCTGGTGCCGAAGAAGAGCTAAAAACCAAGAGTTTGATTCACTTGTCTTAAATATTTTCCTTACATGCCACTGTAGGACAAAATAACTAATTTTTCTCACCTTTAACATTTCATTCTCAGAGACTGATGAAGCCTGTGCCTTGTTTGGTTATTCAGCCTTTTAATATGAGGCACTTTAAGTGATTCAGGCACTGTGAAATGTAATTCCAAATTTCACCCCAACATGTTTATACCCGTAACTTAGTGGTGGATGAGTTGGATCTGTAGTTGCCATAGAAACATGACGTACAGCTGTGATATCATTTGTAACCAGTGGGAGCTGTGCTCCAGTTTGATTTGTCTTTTTTAATAAAATACCTGTTTGATATTTCTTCATTTGGAGGTGATGATATTGAACATAAAAATGACATTACATGCTTTTTGTATAATTACAAAGAAAAGTTTTAATGACATTTTAAGTTAGACATTTTAAATATTGTCTATTTCCTTGGCATAAGTTGATGTGAGGTCCAAAGTCAGCCAACCTTACTACAATGACTCAGCTATGAAATAGCATCAGTATTTGTTCAAATATTGACAGAATACAAGGAAGATGTTTGACACATTGTTCACATAACTTACAATCTCAATTCAATGTACACTTATCCTCAGAGATATTTAATTATGTAAAATCTTAAAATTTAACCCACGTCAGTGGTAGTGTGAGACATATAGAAGTGCTGGATTCAGGTCACCCTGCGCGAGGACAATTGGCACATCTAAATTTTCCCCACCCAGCTGGGCACACCGGAGTGACACGAATCAAACACACCAGCCGTTGTTCAGAGATCACTGCTCAGTTACACATTCATCCAGATGAGAAGATAAAAGGCTGTCCGTGCCTGCTGGGTTCAGTGCTGCAAGTCCACATCTTTATATGCAGTGAAGCGGTCATCTTTGATGAGTCTCAAAATTAAGTAAAACAAGAAAATGTTGCTATCACAGTTCAGAGATCACTTCAGTTCAGTATCAACTCCTATATGAGGAGAACACAGTTGACACATTCAAAGTGCATTCAACAAGAGCCTTTTTGAATTTTAGAACTTAATCATCTGTACCTTTCCTACTAGACTATATAAAGTTTGATTATGTTTTTTTAAGTAGCCATTTTTTGATTATTTGTTAGTTAATTGCCAGAAAATCAACTGATAATACTGATTAATCCTATTTATTCAAATGACCATTCTAAAGATTCAAAAATACTGTGCTTCATGTGTTTAGGATTACATAATCATTTCTGGAGATTTGTTTTAGCTGTTGATCTGCACAGCAGGAAACCTAAAAGAGAAAACTTTGGGCTCTTGTGAAAGAATGCACTTTTTTTTTCAAATTATGAATAACCAAAAGGCCTCCCTGCAACCTGATGTTACTTTTTCTCCAATACACAGTGAGAGACAACATACATGAGGCGTGTTACATATTAAACAAACTGATCACTTTCATTCTTTAAACTTAGACAAGGCTCCACAGTCGGTCCATATACTTTTACTTGTGCGTTAATGAAGATACAGACAGTTGCAACAAAAACATTTCAGTAAAAAGGGAGATATGATGAAGGGTGGAGGGATTGTGGTTGAAAAGATGACAGTAGGAAGGATAGAGGGATTCTGGAAGATCCAAAGACAAGTTGGGGGGGGTGTGGGGCCTGGAGAGGGAGCTGTTGTGTGGCCTGCACAGCTTTGATCCTTGGTACCTGGTCCTGGAGTCCGATCTTCCCACATCTGTGTTCTTCCAATATTAGGGAAGATGGGATAGGACTACAATCACCTTCCCCCAGGACTTCCCAACAGGAACCTGTGAGGAGGAACCACAGTGCAGTAATGGGTACCTTTCTAACATCCATGTGCCAATTTAACAAAGAACAGGACTTTCAGATTTGCCTCCTTTTGTTTTCTTTGTTTTAAGAATACAGACATTTCATCCCTTAGCATATTAAACGTGACACTGATTTCTAATATATTTAGGATTTTAAATATCCTGGTGGTATCTGATTCTTACCACTCTGCTCTTGCCTGAACCGCCTCGATCCTCACCAGCCTCTTTTTGTCGTCCAGAGGCCGGGCCAGAGCTCGCAGCACTCGGGCCCGAAACGGCAACACCTGAAACAGTGGAAAATGTTGATAGAAGTTGTATTCTATTGGAGTTCCTAGATTAATGTAATGCGTGTAAGTTATTAGAGTATCTGTATTGTTTCAATGGGTGAGGAAGGGCACTTTTTATTTTATAATAGTATTCTGTTCTTCACTACATATAAAACCCAAATTAGTTCATTGGAAAAGCCACATTTACTGTATGGAAATGGAGGGAAATCAGGAGCTGGAACATTTTTAAATATTCTTCAAGGAACCATCTGAGGTTCCCTGCTGTAACAAATTAATGAAGTTTCCTTAAAGCTTGTTTTTATTTGTGTAGGTCAAGAAGAGACTCCAATTTTGAGATTCTGAGAAAGTCAAACTTGACAACATCTGAAACATGGACAGTTTTGAGCGTTACCTCATGAACGGGGAAGAGGGAAACAGCATGGATGCACCGCAATGAGGCGATCCTTACGTTCTGAAGGACACAAGAAACAAAATATTGGTTCGAGCTCTGACTAATAAACAAGTTCATGTTATATAATGAGCAGCTTCATCTGACTAGACACCTTGTATACATGCAGTCCATTTACCATTTAGCAGGTAAATGTTAAACCTCTCTCTTAGGTGTGATATCTCACTAACCATAGATGGACTGGAGGTGAGGGGCAGCAGCCTGCCGACCAAAGCCTCTAGCTGCTGTATGAGCGCTGGTGGTGGGTCGACGAGGACAGGCTCCAGACAGGACAGGGTGGACAGCTGGACGCCCCGGTCTGGACATGACAAGGCCTCCAACAGCAGAGACAGGAGCTGGACGGGGACAAAAAAATCTCACATTATGCTGACATTTTTTTTTTTTTTTTAAGATTTCAAATAAAGCACTATTTGAAGATGACTTGCAGTCTCTGCCGCAGTTTGCTCTTTACTCACCGCTGGTAGTTCAGTGACTTGAACCTGCTTGGGCAGTTTGTTGACTATGTTAGACAGAGCCTTCAGGTAGTTGGGCTTCTTCTCTGTAGGGGAGGCAGACAATGAATAAAGTTTATCTGAGATGAAGACCAGAGAAAGAGTCTAAAACCTCCAAAACGTTTTACTTTTCATTTGTTCTCTTGTGAAGATTTTAGGTATTTAGTTTCAACGGTCCTGTAAATGTTATCTATCTATGTTAACTTGCAACTATATGTCAGCCTAGGTGAGAATAATCTTTCACACATTGCACTTGGTGGATGTTAACTGGTTTAACTATAGAACTAAATAAAAACGTTTTACTCTTCTGTACATGTTCACACTGCAAATGATCAAAGGTTGTATTTCCTTCTCTCATTTCCTCTTTCTTCTTTATATGTTCAAATATTACAGTCCAGGAATCTTCGTATTCATGTCAGCAAAAAAGCTCAAACTGCTGTGAACAATGTAGTCTTTTTTTCTATGATCATTTGTGGACTGTCTGTACTGGATAGCAGTGCAATTCTGTCTGCCAAAGTGCCTTTAATATCAGAAATGTTCAAGTCATACACACAGAGGATTTCCCTGAATGAAGTTGATTCCTTATAACCACTCAGCAGTGCCGTGGCCTCGTACCTTGCGGCGCAGCGTTGAAGCCCTGGACCAACTTGGCCGAATTCTCGCTGAAGAAGCGCTGACGGTACATGATGCGAACATCGGCGTGGCAACCGCGGTTCAGGACGTCGGGAGAGTCACTCATCAGCAGCGAGAAGCCGTCTGCTGCCATCGGACCGAGGTCAGCGTCGTCGAGCAGAGAGAAGAGCTTCAAAAATACACAGTGGAAGGAAATTAGAACCAGTTTATCTGGTCTGCAGTTCATCACGGCACAGTTAAGAACTGGTCCCACTGTATTTAATAAAGTATGTATTATAGATGCACGTGCTCCTGTTTTTTACCTTGTCAGTCAGTGCTGTGAACAGAGGGTGGTATCTGAGAAGCAGAGCCTTGGCAACCTGGAAACAAGAGGAAACAGGAAACAGGAAATTAGTGAGATAAAAAATGTAACCTGTATAGTCACACATATATATAAACTAATGATGCAAACAATCAGCAGCAGACACATTGAAGACGGTGCGACTCGTACCCAGATCATGTGGGTGAAAGCCTGAATGCGTAGAGATGAAGACGCAGAGTCCAACTCACTACACACTCTCTTCATCGTGCTCTGAATAAGGCTGTCGAGAGAATCACCTGAAGAAGAAAGCAAACCATCACAGCTGCTTTTAGTTGACAAAGTGAGGCTCAGCTTTGGAACAAAAAGCAGGAGAGCAAAGACACCAACTGACCCTGTGCTCTCTTATTAACCAGGCCAGCGAAGCACTTTGCAGCCGAGGTGTACGACAGCGGGTGGCTGCAGGTGCAACTCATCTCCTCCAGCTGTGACAGCAGCTGATCCATCTGAGGCACCTCCACCTAGATTACACATACAACACTCAGAATTCAGCTCCAGTACCCCTACTAACAACTTAATTGTTTTAATTAAAAGCAGAATTCAAGTTGAGACTCACACTGCGAGGTAACGAACACACACATCCCATGAGCAGACAAACCATCTGGGACTGGCTCCATGAGTCCCCCTGCTGCTTCTGGGGAAACATTACGAGCTTTAATAACCACACTCTTTAAGTAACAGTGACACTGCAGTGAAAAATAAGTAATAATTAACCCTTAAATTAGGGATGGAAAATAAAAATGATACGAGGTACACTGAAAATATTTCTACAGTTGCATTTTTATGATAATTTGTCTGAAGTGTTTTTAAAAATCTCAACAAAAAGATTTAATAAATTAGTCTCTAAAGTATAACCTTGAGCAGCCCGATGTGTGAAGGGAAGGAGTTGTCGGGTAAAAAGGAAACATCACCATCCAGGAAGAGAGACACAGCCTTCAACGCCGTCTGTCCCGCCAACCTGATGAAATGAAATCCCCCGGAAGGAAACCACACAAACCTCATGAAAAATGCTCTGACGGTACTTTGGAAAAACAAATCAGAGACTGACAAAATACGCAAAGGTGAGAAACAGACAGGAACTGGTAGTATTTTTAGGTTGTGTTTTTTTTAGATCTGCAAGTGTGAAAGAAACTTGAGAACTAATTCAAAGAGCAGCTGTAAGAACAATGGAAACGAGATGCATGTGATGATGATGATGATAAGAAAAGGAAAAGCGAGTGATAATCTATTGTTTTAACTGTTCTCCTAATCCTTTCACCTGACATTGTTTTGTATGTTTTCACATTTAGATGAGTTACTATTGGCAGAAATGGAATATAATATTCATAGGTATGTTTTCATAAGTGTATAATCACCTGAAAATGAGAATCTTTGTGTTTTCGTTACCCAGAATGGACAAACACTATCTATTTTTTTATCTTCTTCTCCTACACACTCTGAAGGCTGAGCTGTATTCAAATGGTTGCAATCTGCTACTTCACTGCTAGCTGGCACTGAACACTACACACTGGTCCCTTAAGAATAGTTCAGATTTATAAAAACATACAGATATCATTATCGTTGCATTGTGGTGAACAAAGAGTGTCAATGTGTTGAAAAGTGCTCACAGAGAGAGCAAAGCGGGAGAGATGGATGAGCGAGTTTGTACTGACGTGGGCTGTAGCCTGGAGCAGGAAGTACTGATGACGGGGACCATGGCAGACAGGACCACCTCCTCCAAAAGAGGACTACGACAACCAGATGACCCCTCACCTACAAAACATGAACATGAATTTCAGCTTTCAACTTTCATGTTTTTATGTTTTTAAAAAGGTAAACCGATGCAGTAGCAGTTATAAACACATTATCAGTAGTGAAGGTAGAAGTTGTGGAGTTTTGGTGGAAGGTAAAAGAGGAGATTATCATCATGTCGGTTGAGGAATTGCTCACCCTGCAGTGCTGCCTGGAGAGCCAGAGACAGCAGGCGTGGGATGATGACGTCATGGAAGCATCGTCCCGTCTCCTCTGTGTCCTGAACCTGCTCTGCTATTCTCTGGAGGCTGTGACACGCCGCCACCACCTCCTCCACTGAGAAACCAACACTACCTGGAAAAAAGAAAAAATACAAAAAATGACATTGACATTCAATATTTCTTTAACCTGTAACAGTGAAAGAAGTGCTGCACAACAACACACCAAATCCTTAACTGATGCATGTTATTTAACACAAGTGCACTGCAAACGGATTACCTGTGTGTGCTGAGCTCAGGACCTCCAAGAGGACAGGTGTGCTCTCCTGGACAACACCGGGTTGGGTGGACATCGCAGCCAGTGCAGACATACAACGCTGGCGCACTGCCTGAAGGGACTGCTGCTCAGAAGCTTCTCTGTTGTTGTCTTGATCCATGTGCTCTGAGCAGAGGAGAGGAAAAGAAAGGGTTGTAAGGTGTATTCATTAAGTCTGCTGATCTAAAGTTAAACTGTAAGGTGAAGAGAAACATTACTGGAAGGGGGCCAATACTTTGTTTTAAAAATTCAGAGATTTCTTCCACTTCAAAATTAAAGTAATATTTATTTTGATCAGTATCAATAAATAGTAAATAAAACTGTACTTTTTATAAGCTCTGTATCATACAAATATTAATATCTGTATAGTGTTTTAAAAATAACATTTCCTTATAGGGTAGGTCATATTTTTGTGTATGCTTTTCACCTACCTGTAAACATTTCCTTCTTTAGTCTTGGGATCAGTTTAGCGATAAAGGCTGCTGGGTGCAACTCTGCTAGGGCTCCAACACACTCAACCACAGCAAGACTGCAGGCAGGAACAGACAAGAAACAGAGACAAACACTTCCTGTTAAGTTCGACTGCAAAACAAAATCCAAACATCTTCATTCTGATTTTGTCAAAAGGGGGAGGACAGGGGGAGAGGAGAGAGAGAAGTATGTTCAACATGAGCTGACCTGACTCTGTTGTCCTCCTCCGTCAGCAACAGTCTGGTCAGGTGATCTACAGCCAGCTCAATATCGGAGTCCAGCAGCAGACCTGAGAGAGACAGTGCATCTGTAATAACAGCGGCGAATTTATGACCATATCTGACTCTGCTGGCAGCTGTGAATGGAAGAGTTCATCTCACCTGTTTGTTGTGCTAGTGAGGTGAGCACAGAGGTGGCTGTGATCTGCAGACTGGCATTAGTCTCTGTCAGAGCTGAAAACACCATGCTGCACAGAGACGGGCGGAAGGCTAAAAACACGCTCTCTTCTAATGTGTATGGATCACAGACAGACAGAGAGAAAGACAGACAGACAAGTTAAAATCTTTGGGTTGTGTCTTTGGTCTCCATGGTTATGTACAAACAGCCCCTAAACACAGTTAGGGTATTTGTTTTTTTTGTTTATGAAGGGCATATAATCCTTTTTGAAGTTCCTTTTTGACTACCACAGTATTAGTATCATTCGTAGTATTCTCTGAAGATTTATATCATTATTTATTGTTGTTAAAGTGGAACAAGATGCAGCTGTAAGTGAAGGATGAGCCGTCTGGAGTGAATATGATGTCCTGAAGTAAATAAGTAAATAAATAAACAGCACTTGCCATTTTCTGAAGACTGGCAGGTTTTTACTGACTGGATAAAACGCTGCACCACCTCCAGTAATGTTCGTCTGTGGGAACACTGCACAAAGAGACAGAGTCACGCATGAACACGAGATGTTCCAACACAGCAACAGCACGAGTAAAGGCCATTGCACACCAAGTCGGTTTTTGCTGTCCAAAATTGTTGCACGTTTAAAAATAAATACAACCCAATGTTGTGTCAATGTTTACACACAGACTACAAAACTTCCCGAACAGGTTACCTTCTTTGCATTTTTTTCACACAGACAGCAGGGAGAGCGACAGCGCACAGACAGAGAGGGTTCAGCCCTGCGGTGCTAAGTGTAAGACACGGGCAGAGAGGGGCGAAACTCTCCTTGGACCCAATTGCTTTTCCTTTCAAGTGAGAGGACTATAAAATCATCCTCATTGCGTGACGACTCCGTCTCGTATTATGAATTTCTCAACCAACAGAGTAACAAAACACATCTGACTCTGGGTTCAAGGTTTCTATGCGTAACAAATTTAATCGGACGACGGATATAAAAAACGCATACAGAAAATACAGACTTGATGGTGCAGGCCTTAAGAACACCCATCATCAAACGGACATTTACCTCTGTTTTGCTGTTGTACTGCTCGATGAGAGAGGGCATGACAGCAGATGTTATGATGTGGCTCGCCCTGCTGGAGGCGCTGCAGGCAGCCTGTAGCAGCTTGGCGCTGGGCCACACGAGCTTCAGGTCCGGCTCACATAGGTGATGTCTGCAGTCTGGAACGACAGCTCACTTTCAGTAAAAAAACAAACACTGGACAGGTAAAAGACATCAGTTTCATTTATTTGTGTCTCATGCTGTTTCACTGACTTTTCTACCCTAAAGAGACAAACATGGACACAACAATTCCTGGGTATGTCTTTAGAGATGTGGAGGATCAGATTTACTAACTGTGACATATATCAGCCAAACTATTCAGTCTAAAACATTCATATTGGTTTTAGCCTTTAAACATTTTAGTAAAGATCCAGTGTCTTAATATAATCACTTATATGTAGATGGCGTAAATATACAAGTCGATATTGGTTGGTAGGTTTCCATAACTCTAGTGCACTTTGGCAGGAAACTAATAATCATCTGAGGGAAACATTGTATATGGTACACTGTTGACATGTCATGTTAACTGTATGAGCAGTTGGTTAAAATAAAGAACTGAACAGGCACTGTGGTATGATTTCCTGCCCAACTACTTAAACACTGCAGTAAACCCTCCCATTACCACAACGCTGACATATTTAGTTCAACAATGCAATCTACACAGCCTCTCTTACCACCTTACCAGCAGCAAAGAAAATGCAGTTATTTAACAAGTCTTCCAATGTTGCTGTTTTTGTGTCATCCAACTTGAGTTTTAATAAAACTGAACATGCTTTAAATAAAATGTGCATTTTTTTTCATGTGCAGATAAGCTGCATTTCACCTTTGAGAACAAGATCCAGGAAGGTGCAGAGGGAGTCTTCAGAGTCAGAGTTAAGGACTGAGCGAGACAGGCAGGAAGTGAGTGCGGTAAGAGCAGCGAGGCCAGCAGACTCAATCTTCTCACTAGATGTCTGAAACACCTGCAATGAAGCAACCAGAGGGGAACATCTGTCATTAGTTTGTTCTTCAGATTCACTAAGAGGCAAGCACATCAACAGTTTACTTTTGATTTTTAAATTTAGAAAGTGTTTTCAGCACCTGGAGCATGGGGAATTTGTCTCTACTCTTGTTAAGAGAACAAGATAAATAGAGATAGGTCCAGACCTCACTGTGTTTTTCTTGGAACAATTTGCTTCTTTCTTCCCATAAAGCATTTTGTTTTGGGTCATTTGCTTCAGATGCTCTCTGTTACATTCTCATTTCTGATGAACCATCAATCAGTTCTTTTGCTACAAGAGTCAGACTCATGTCCAGAAGTCTGTTCAGAGCCATTATTTAGAGTTCAAATGACATCGTTTACAACTGGACAAACAACACAAACTAATAGAGTAAACACTGCAGAGATACAAAGTTAGTTCATGTGAGCCCAGCCTTAAAGATGCTTCCTGTTTTTGAGGGTGGAGTGGATGAAAAAACTTTGTTCAGACACAATATACACACATCAGCCCTACCTCTCTGCGCAGTGACACCCACAGTCCCTCGAGGAACTCTGCCAAGTCCTTATGTTCATATTGTGAAACACAAGCAGTCTGAAAAATATAAAGTGCGGTGAAATAAGAAACCAGGTTATACATAAACCCCCCCTGCCTGCTCTGGGCCTCTCAGCAGCTCCACTGTAGTTGTCAGTTGAGTGACTGCGTTGCTTAAGGTAACATCAACTGTGCTGTGTATGATCCACATTTACAGACTTCTTGCAGCTGAGAACATGAGCTGGAAAATGTTTTAATTCCTAACCAATTAGACTCATAAGATCAGAGGCACATTAGAAAAAAAAAAAAAAAGAGATTTCTCACCAGAGTCTGCAGCGAGTCCAGCTTTGCACTCAGAACATCTGAGTCCAGCTTCTCAATGATGAGAGGTAACAGAAACTGTAACAGAACATAAACTCTATTTAGGCCCTCACCAAAAAAATATGTCTAATATCCATCGCACCAAAAAGCTACATGTAAATAGTCTACCTCAGCAAACTGTGGCGTCCCAGCGAGGACGTCCCTCAGCATCTGGACGAGCTCCTCCCTGGTGATGCTGTGGGGGTCATTGGGAGGCTGTGGTGGGTTGATGGTGCGTATGGGGGGGATGAAGGTGAGGCAAGAGGAGATCATAGAAGAAGAAATCATAAATGTGCCTATACATGTTGACAGATCACCAATGAGAGGCTCTGCAGGTATGTAATGTTTATAAAGACTGTGGCTGTGATCCAAACAGTATTCTGTAGGCTTACAATTAGTTCCCACTGGTAATGTCATTTCATTGATTCACATTTTGTCAAACAGCAGCAGTAAGACGAGACCTCTCAGTTATAGCAATCTAATTCTAACTGAATAACCAACATGAGTCAGTAGTTAGTCAGTCATTGATGCAAGTTTAAAGATTAATTCCATATATTCATGTCAAAGTGAAAACTGTTTCTGGATTCCCATGGAGAGTTCTTGTGTTATTTGGAAATGTGTGCTACAGGCAATATCATGCAGCAGGAATTTGGGGCATCTTAATTAGTGTTAATGGTTCACTGTTTCACTTTCTGGTTGAATTTGAACATACAAAATGACTCCTACTGCCATAATTCAATTCACACTTTCAGTTCAAAACACCATACACCAAACCAGCCTAATGTGAACAATGTACAAGTTATTTAGAAGCTTGTCTCATTTTTATCTGGTATATGTTGTGGTGTTTATGTCACACTAAAACCAACATTAGTAGCACTGTGGCCATGTGCTGCTTTGCTCCAAAGTCAACACACGACGTTAACAAGGGAAATGTCTGTGAGCAGATGAGGAGGCAGTATTATTGTTTTATACAGAGTTCCCCTGAGGTCACAGGAAGTCAGTGATGACATTTCTGTCTGCTGCCCTCTCTGCTTTCATCAGTTCTCAGACAAAAGCAGCTGAGTAAACAGAGACTTACAGGGGTGAAGTTGATGGGGAAATAGCAGGACGTCACCTCGAACAGCTCCTCTGTGAATTTACCTACAAGCAGACCACAAATAAACGGGAGGCAAAGAGGAGTCATGCTTCAACTGTGTGATGGATAGTGACAAAGAGGTCCAAAAAAGGTCGAAAGACGAACAGAAACAAAGAGAAAGAAAAATGCTGTATGTGTACCTAGATCATAACCTCGGTGGATGATGTTCTTGGCAACCTGGAAGGCTAACAGGAGGTTGCGAGGATCCCTCTCTCCGTCCATTGACTGGACGAAACCAAACACAAAGTCTGCACCCAAACCCTTCAGTTCTGTGGAAGAGTCAAACAGGAATACACAGTTTCTGTATGATGGCTGACAAGTTGTTATGGTTGTTTGGATGTAGGGGGTTGGTTACAAACAGAGTTGGAAGAAGTACTCAGATCTTGTAAATCTTAAAGTCTTAATAGTAGTAAAAGTCGTAGAAATGCTGTTACAAGTAAAAGTACAAAATATTGGCATCAAAATATACTTAAAACACCAAAAGTATTCATAATGCAGAATGGACAATATAAAAACTATATATATGATTAGATTATAATTATTGATACATTACTGTGTACATCACTTTAATGTTAAAGCTGGTAAAGGTGGGCCTAATTTTAACTACTTTATAAACTTTATCTGAGTGGTAGCTTATGAATGTATCCCCGGGGAATCAATAAAATTTTATTTGAATCTGTAGTGCATCATAATTTATTCGTTAATTATATTTTGCATTATTAATCTGAACATGCAAATTAACAAGTTCAAATATCAAATAAATGCAGCAGAATATTTGCCTCTCAAATGTAGTGTAGAAGTATGAAATAGAGAAAATGGAAATACTAAATTAAAGTACAAATACCTCGAAATTGTACCTAAGGACAGTACTTGTAAATCTACTTAGTTACTTTCCACCACTGCCTTCAACTATATTGAAGATTACGTAATCTAATCTTGCCTGACCACAAAGGAACAGCAAGTAAATCTATGACCAGCAAGCTGCAAATATTTGTTTTTTTATTTTTATTTAATTGATAAAGAAGAAGAAGAAGAAGAAGAAGAAGAAGAAGATATACTTTATTGATCCCCTAGGGGAAATTGTTCTTTTCACTCTTTTTATATACACACACACACACACACAGGCTGAAATGCTCTTGTGTTCATAATAACTACCGGAAGCCACACACAAACACTTCATTGACAGCCTTCAATTTGCATCCTACACAGTAAGTGTACATAAAGAAAATCATTCAACTGCCAACCAAAGCAGAAGAGCATGTGACAACTCCTTTATTCCAGGGATGGTAAGAGTTTAACTTCCCTGAGACATGAAATAACCACAGTGGTTAGTCAGCCAACTGTCCAGAGTTCTGACTCACTCCTTACTGTTTTGAATCACCGTCTTCAACACAGATCTAGACACGCACTGATAACTATTTGGCAAATAAGGCGATAGCCAATAGCGATACTCCAATGTCTCTCCAATATCCGAGTTTGAAACAACCAACACAACAGATGAACATCAGTCACTGACATCGCTGGACGCCTGTTTATTTGCCAACGTCAGTCAACAAGGCAAATATCAGGCAAGAAATCGGTGCATCCCTACACAGAAAGTGATCTTTCTTTCAGCAGAGCTCTGAGTCATTGTGGGGACACGCTGCTGTCTTATTCTATTAACTGCGAATCAGACTCAAGTCTCTTACCGGCTTCTCTGGTCTCCATGAGGTTGATGAGCATGTGGTAGACACAAGCTCTCTCTGCCAGCATCAAAGACTGGAGAAAAATAAACAGACCCATATTGACCCAGTTTTTTACCCACAATGCCTACATTTATGAACACTTTAGATTAGTCAGATTACCTAAAAAGCATTGTTAATAAAAGAGGAAGTGATTCGATAACATGGAAGAACCAAGAACATTTTCACACACTCTCACAGCACTGAATGACAACCTGCAGTTGTGCATTTTAACATCTGGCCAAGGGCAGCTGATGAATAATAGACTAATAGATTGTAGGCTAAATCATTTGTTCATTACTTGTCTTTGATCCACACAAATAAAGAAAACAATGCTACTTAGTGCAATGATGTACGTATTGGATTTAACTCAGATCCACTGTTTTATTTATGCCTCACACAAAACATCTTTATTATAACACAGTGTCGAGTCTCACCTGAACATGAACATCTTGGAACAAAGACCTCAGCATGGACACAGCTGAACCAGGAGGCAACACTGTACATTTTGTCTAGAAAAACAGAAAGCACAAACACACACACAACACACACGTTATTTACAGCAATCACATCTGGAACTTCTCAACATGATACTCAAACCTGAAGAAACTAACTTGCCAGCTTTGCAGTCAGTTAATCATTTGCAGGTTGTTTGAGATGTTATTGTCACTGAAAGTCTATCACAGACAGACACTCACCAGTGCTCTGAGCCCCTGTAAAACAGGGGGCGTGATGACGTAATGGTCCTTTAGACGGTTTTCATAGAAGGCGATGAGCACTTCCACTGTGGAGAATAAAGACAGCGAGACATCAGTCAATCTGTCAAAATACCACTCTTGCATATATTTTCAACAAAATGTAAGAGAATATGTGTACCTTCTCTCTCAGTAAGACCTCCATAACACTCCTGTAAAACCTCCGAGAGAAGCTGCACTCCTCTGGCACGAGTGTGAGGCTGAGAGCTGGTCAGACTCAGCCTAAAACAGGAAAGGAAATTAAAATGTTAAATATCATTAAATATTAAATCAAAATGACTCTGAGTTTAATTGATGCCTTTAAATGAATAGATGATGAATATAGTGTAGATATTTTTAAAATATATGATGAATTAATAAGAATGCATGAGAAATAAACACTTGTTGTCTGGGTGACAGTCATATATTTATATATTAAGAGTGAAACCTGCTTCTGTAAGCCCATAACTTCCACCACTAACCACAACTAATACCAAAATAAGTCCTCAGTAAAAAAAGGGAAATTAAAGTAGAAACATGCTTTGTTTTGTTCATGTTATGGCTTTCATATTAGATAAATATGAATATCTTACCCCAGTGCTTCCACTAGCTGCAGTACTGTAAACTGTCCATCTTTGACACCTGAACAAAGAGCCAAGTTTAGTGAATTGTATCCAAGTTAACAGACCACAAACACACAGAGAAAACAGACAGAACACACATGCACATAACTAAGTTATCTCTAGTAGTTAGTACAGATTAACTAGCAGTATCGGCGGAGTTCAAAGGTACAGAGTTCATTGACAGGATGCTTTCATAAAGGGACACAAACACAGCAGCTAGCTTAAAACATGCGGTGACCAGCCTCAAAATTCACATTACTGGTGGAATGACAGCACAATAAAACGCTAGGGATACATTTAGTTTGTGCTGCTATTGTGTTAAAACGAGCAGCCCGGTGTCACAACGTGTGTGTGTGTGTGTGTGTGTGTGTGTTTTGTAGCATGCGATTATCACACCGCACAGGATGTTGTGGCGCTAAGTTAGCTAGTTAACCATCACGCCGTGTTGCGCATCCTTCGCAGCGGTAGCTCAGCAGCGTTTTATTCGCAACGACCTGTTCTGAAAGAGTGTCGAGGAAAACACTCTGAAGACTTATTTACCTTTTGCTGTATCTTTGGCCTTGCTGTCCTGTAGTCCTGAGACATATTCCTCCACCAGAGACAGCAGCAAGGCACTGTCCGCAGCCATCGTGCCCTGCAACTCAACTGACGCCACCACGCATGCGCGAAAAGTTGTGAAAAGGGTTGAAACGCGAAAGTGATTCGTTTAACGTAAACATTTATAAAACAGGACCTTTAACAAACAGTGCAGTGTTAAATTGGGACCATTTTGTTACATGCGCATTGCTCTTAATTTAAACGTTTGCTGAATGTTGAAATAAAAACTACAATGTTTAGTTTGTGGTGCTGCCTTCAGGTGCTGTCCGAATTCCGATACACTGCAAAGAATACAACCGAGTAAAGTGGCATTCTCTGTGATGTACACCGTCTAACCTTTCACTGAGGCTGTGTGGTTTTTTTACTGTTAACAATTTCAAACGAATTACTACCAGTATCATTAAAATTATTTAGTTAAAACAAGAAACGTAGTAGCTAGCCGTACATAACAACCATATGATACCTCCGCCGGTGTCGAATTCATTTTCAGTCTCGTCCATTCATAATTGCTTTTCTTCCTGACGTAAGAGAACCTAACACCTGCCTGCGTGCTTACGCGCAGGCGTAAAAAAAGTTCGGTGGCGTTAGCTGTGCCGCTAGTCACCTTTTACCAGCAGAGAGGGAAGTAACATTTGGGGGATTTAAAGAAAAACAACCTGGAGACAGCGTCAAAGAATTGAAGCGGTACACCGTGGATTGCGGGAAAGCGTAACTATCCGCTGCACTTTGGAAGAAACTCGGCGTGTAGGGAAATGATCACGAGTGCGAGTGGAAGTTTGTGTTTACTGATGTTGTGGTAGCTAGCTGGTTGGCCCTGTTAGCTTGTTAGCGAGGAAGGTGCGCGCTGTGGGCATCAACATTTACAACTAGACCAACTTAACCGGCAAGTTAGGGAACTGGCATGTCGCCGCGTATATCCTAACATTGATAAAAAAAAAAAAAAAACGGTTTGGCAGATGTTGTGGTGGCTCGCTGGTTTGGCTATCAAACTCATGTAAACGTGAGTGCGGGCCACGAGCTTTGAATCCTGTGGGGTCGTGTCAACCACAAATAACGCTCATACATAGAGAGAGGGGCGGCACATTGATCCACGATCCAGCTACAGAGCAGCTCATCGCTATCAAACATCCCAGCGTCTTCTTTTTGTCGCTCCGGATGATCCGTAGGGTCTGTCAGGCTTGCAAAGTTGAACCTGCGACCCTCCTCCTCCTCCTCCTCCTCCTCCTCATCGGACCTAGTTCATCGTCTTCTTCCACGATGGGCCCCCTCCTCAGCTAGTACGACGCGTGGAAACTATCAGCAGCCCTCAAACCATGGGAGGATGTGTGGGGAGATACTGGGAAGGCTGGGAGGACACACAGAGCCGAGGCTCGTCCAGGAACGGTGGACGAGGAGGTGAGACCACAGTGTGTGTGCGTTGTTTGTGGCTGTATGGCCTTTTTTTTTTAAAAAAAAGCTGTTCTTCTTGCAACACCACTATTATACCTTCCTCTCGTGTTCTTTTATCCTAAGTGGCATTGCCAAATCAGGCTGGTTTTGATATCTTTTTGCAGGATGTGATGAAGGGTGACATCTGACAGCTGTCCATATCTGCTTAATTGCAATAAAGTGCACATAAAATGTAGAAAACAGAACCAGAGGAGGTTGAACTCACTGTATTTGTGCATATTTTATCCCGCATCAGACTCCTCAAGTGACCACATGTGGTTGGGTTTCATCCCCTCGCTCACTTTAGTTATTCAGTGGGGGAACTGCTGCTAAAGAGAGGCACAGAGGACTATTTGGTACATCACTCTGCGTGGTCTTTCTCCCCGCTCAGGGATTCATTTGCATTCACTATGCACTACATATCATCTCTCCATAAAACCTCGGCATGCTTGGACCAGTGTGTGTACAGGTGCTCCAGTGGGTCGATTAGAAAGCGATCGTATTGTGCAGTCACAAATGCTGAAGTGGCTTGCTATACTAAATTACACAACAGCAAATAAAACTGAAGGACACAGACGGGTTTGCGTTTTTGGGATTTTGAACAGGCAGTGTGATTTCTGACTGATTGCTGCTGGAGAGTTGTAAGTGTAAATGCGGTTTCAGTTCACCTGTATGCTGCTGGGATTCACGCCAGATTTGGAAAAATTTGGAAATATGTCCTCTTCCTGTGTTGCCACTACACAAGAATGTGGTCTGTTTAAATGGAGCACCGAGGCGACTCTGCCTTCCCAGAGATCTGCTCTCTATGCTGATTACTGCCAAATTCACCTACACGACACCTACATTTGCCTGACACTGCGCTCATAACGAGGCCAGCAATTTTCTCACCCAGCAATTTCAAGCCTCACACTTAATCCCACAACTGCTATCTTTAAAAGTGGTAGTATGGTAGCCCTGTGAACACCATATCACACTGCTCTTTTAAGGTGGAGTTAGTCACCAAGCAGGAGGTTGTGGTTACTGTATGGCAACAGAAATAGGATTTGATTCCCAAAGTTGCTGATATGCCGATTCATCCACTACCAGGAACTTGAGTTCATATGCATAAGTTATTTACCTTCCCGGTAGATAACATTCGTCTTGAGATAAACACTGGCGAAATGCCACGTTTTGTTCTTTTACTCTGCTTGATAGTGACAGACATGATTTGGATTGCTGCTTTAGCACTTAGTAAGAGTAAATGTTTTATTTACAACCAGACTAAACTGAACGACGCAGGCGCCGCGGCGGCTGAATTGGCAGACGTTCTGAATTTCTGCATAGTTTTGACCGCAAAGAACAATGTCAGTCATATTTAGCCTGACCTTTTTTTGTAATTTATGGTGCGACACATTAAAATGCTTTTTGTTTATTGGATAATTAGAGGCTTTACGGACATGCAGGTTTATGAATGTTGTTATAAACTCAATTAGCATGGGGGAACAACCTTTAGGACTCCTTCAGGGATGTGGTGAAATCTTTGCGGGGGTCATCAACTTAGTCAGTTCTACCAGATGCTCCAGCAGTTAAACACACTTCAGCCTGTTGCATCACTGTCACATTCAGCATATCCGGAGCAAAATAACACTTCCCGTTATAGTGACTGTTCGGGAATCTGAGGGTCTGGTATTCGTTTGGATGCAGGTTGGGTCTCCTTTGTTTCCGCCAACTGTACTGATGGAAAGTTTTTCATTGTCAAGCAGGAACTGTCTCCAATTTACTTCACAAAGGCAGGACGTTTTTTAAGATTGACTCCAGCTTTGCGCATTAGTAATAGTTAAAGTTAAAGTGCACTTTTTGACCTCTTTATTCCAAAATGAACATCTTATGTAGACTTTTAGAGCAGAACATGACCTTAATCTTTCTTTGTTACCCACCAAAGTGGACCATGGATATACTATTTAAAGTTAAAGCCGTCCCAACCAAGATTCCCTCTGGTTTTGGCAGTGGCTCGGGGTAATTTCCCACCCTGATTGGTATAAACAGACACTCCCTCTTTAGACCAGGCTTCGATCAAAAAGAACAAGCCACATCGTGTCCCGCTGACGGGCTTCTCTAACGGGAGTCTACTGTGCTTGACACACCCTTGCACAGACAGACAACCATGTGAGAGGAAGAGGTCAAATACAATAGAAGCCCCGTGGTGTCTCTCCATTTTTCACAATATGGGACAAGGGATTTCAGTTCTCAGCAAGCAGTAAAGATTTTGCCCTCATTTCTCTGTGATGTGTTTTGTGTTGTAATATATAGGTTGCCTGAGAGATAAAAGGCCTCATTTCCATCCCCAAGGCTATATACTCTTCTAGTTTCCTTTGTGCTGCTTTGTAACATTACATGATTGCATCTTTTTAATGCCATGCATTGGCAGTTGACAGTGGAGAGCAACAGGAGATATGTAGATATACAAGAAAGGTTGGAAGAAACCTGCATGAAACCTTGAAATGGCGCGCCACCAAGATCCTTGACATCATTTTAAACAGTTCACTTCATTGACTCGCTACAGTGTACTTCATTATTCTTTTAGTTATTGGTTGACTTACTGCATCACTGCAAACTGCAGAGCAAATGCAAACCTGTTTCTGAGCAGTATACAGCGAAATTTACATACACACACATAACATTTAACATTATTATTTAGTCAAATAATCACAAACTCACTACAGGAACATTGTATAAATGAAGTAGAAAAACTAAAGTAAAAACATCTACAAATGGAGGGAGAAGATCAAACAAACTATTTAAATATTTACTAGCTCAAGCCAACTGTTTACACACAGACTATAGGAACACTCTAAGCCAGAGATCCCGTGGAAAAAGAAGCTCAAACATCCCCCACAAGCCACACCTACTGATTGCACGGCACAAGAGGAGAGGGAGAGACCCTGGTGCTGTTGGCAGAAGAGCAGAGGACTGTGATTACTCTGAGCAGCATGCATGGGGATGAATTACAACATAATGTATTTTAATATATTGCTTACCTTTTCACTTTTGTCACTAGTTGATTTTTAGAAATAAAGTCACTGAAGACGCTTAATCTAGCAAGCTCTCTTTTATGTATTGACCTGTTTTATGTATTTACTGTTCTGTGGGGTTTTTTTGCTTACCTGCCCGGGGACAACAATTGCAAATTAGCTGTTAATTAGCTTTAGTGTAATTACTTTTAATTGTGCGCTGGTAATGTAAAAATAAGCAAATACTTTTATTTTCCCTAGGACAACGGGAAGCGTTGGATTTCTAGCGGGATTGAGAGCTGACATCGTCACACACACACACACACACACACACACACACACACACACACACCTAGCCTTAAACCATGCCCATAGCTCATGTCGTAGCCACCAGTAGTTCCTCATAGGAAGCTGATTGGTCTAAACCACTGTGGCTCGGACACAAGTGCGTAACCTGAAGCCTGGCAAGATGGATTCTCCCATGAGTGTCCAGCTGCCTCGCAAGGTTAACTCACAAGCACATCTTAATCACAGTTTGTAAAAACCAACCCCAATGTATCTCATCATATGTTTGTCTAAAACTCTCAGATATTGGTATCGGTCAGGGTGTAGTATAGCACATAGATACCTAATCTCAAAGCATAGTTTGAAATGTTCTGTAGAAATGAACATCAAAGTAATTAAAGCTAAAGTAAGATAGAGTAGAGGAGCTCAGCTCCATAGGAAAATTGCAGGTCTACCAGCCCCCGTTAGTATCATAGTTAAGAGTGTATTCTCTGAAATATTTGTGTCTGTGACTAGATGAATTTAATTTGCTCCTGCTTTGGTGAGAGAGTTTTAAACAGTAACATAACGGATGCTACACAGGACGTCGTCGGTAACTGTATCTGTGCTTGCAGAAAGCTGAATGCACTGTTTTGGTGATAAGATAACAAGCTGTGTGTGTGTGTGTGTGTGTGTGTGTGTGTGTGTGTGTGTGTGTGTGTGTGTGTGTGTGTGTGTGTGTGTGTGTGTGTGTGTGTGTGTGTGTGTGTGTGTGTGTGTGTGTGTGTGTGTGTGTGTGTGTGTGTGTGTGCAGAGGAAATGGATTCACATGGATGCAGTCTGTGTCTGGTTAAACAGGAACACAGAAAACACCACACATTTATTATTTGCCTCATGTCGGGAGAATGTGAGAGGCTGTTAAAAGTCTTCACAGGGCCAAAAGCAGCATTATGTGTTACAGCTGAGTGTTCCTTTCCCAGAAGCAGGTAATCCTTTAACAGCCACCTATGGCTGTTGGCTGCGTTGTTTTGTTTGTTTCCTGACATACAGCACTAAGGAGGCTCGTTTATGACGCATTTCATTAACACTCATAAATACAACACACTTCACGATAACCTCATCACGTGGCACCTGCTTTTATTAGCCCAGATGGATGAAAACAGCCTGATACTTCTTCACGTGTCTGCAATCAATTACACACGTCTGTGTTTTGGTGGGCTTTATAGATTTGATATAAAGGGGCTGTTTGTTGAAAAACTTCATACTGGCAATACACCGGAGAACAATTGCATCCATTAAATGTAAAAGCCTTTTTATATTTTATTTCTACCGCTTGTTTGTACAGTGTTTTCCTATAACATCATTTTTTGGGGGCATATGGTTTTATTCAGTGTTTAACACCACACGATTAAAATTCAGAGGCATATTACAGCAAGGAAGGGAAAGCTCCTCTGGTTTGTAATGCTTGTCTCTTTTTTTTGTAGCTAACCCCCTCTACTGGTATTTTCTGTCAAACTTCAAAGTTCTTAGCTGTCTTGGATTTCAACTGTTCAGAAAATATCCTCTGTAAATGTCATACTGACTCAATGTGTCACTAAGAGATAACCAGTCTGAGTTGAGTCAGACCGCTTCTTAGGAAAGGGGAACCAAAAGTTGGCACAACTATAGCCCATTGCTATCGCTCATTGTTTTGCCAACTTTGATGATATCACAGGGCGCCCGGATAGTTCACCTGGTGGAGTTGGCACACCATGTACCGAGGCTGAGTCCTTCCTGCCGCGGCCATGGGTTTTAATCCAACCTGTGGACCTTTGCTGCTAGTCATTCCCTCCCCCCCCCCTTCCTGTCTATCTTTAGCTGTCCTGTAATATTTATATATAAAAAAGAATTCTTAATTAATTATATAATTGTGGAAAAAACTGAAAAAAGGTTATATGGATCCCTTTAGATTATTATTATTATTATTATTATTATTATTATTATTATTACACTGTGAGAAGGAATATTTTGAATATATATCTTGTCATTGCTCTCTGGTGAACAGTGTAATAGAGGCACTCTTTCCAAATGACCTTTTACCTAGTTTGACATTTCTGTACTGAGATATCTTTTATGTATTGACTGGCATATACAGATATATCCGCCAATTTATCAGTCTATTTCAGGTGAAGCCAACAAAATGTGGTTTTAATATTTCTTGACTGGAAGCTGGCTGAACTACCAGATATCATCTGTCTCTGTATCGTGATACTGATACCACTGTGTTGATGGTGTGCATAGTTAATCATCATTACTGGCTACATATACAGTGGGTGCTAAAGCATCTCTTTGAGAAGAGGATGCATATTGGGTATATTTCAGCGGTTTCACACCACCCCCATCCATGTAAACAGGAAGTATCTTTTTGCCATGGAGTTGGTAAGCTTGCTGTGGGCTACAACTTGAGCCCTGTTTTTCTTTTTTAAGCCTATAATTACTTTGTGGTTAATTGGCACTATTAAAAGAATGCAGCAGTAGCTGTTAGCAGTTCCTGTTTGCAGTGTACCCATGGATGTACTCACAATTTATACTTAGATTAGAGCTGCAATGATGAGTCGAATCATCGATCGACAGAAAATGAATAATCATTAAACAGTGTATCTGTTAGTCAGACATAAGAAGACATCTGATGATGCCACCTTGGTCTTTTTACAAACATTTACACAAATAGATATTTTTTGTTGTTTTATCATTTTATTTAAAATGAGTAATCTCATCAATCGAGAAAATAATCTGCAATAATCAATAATGAACATAATTGTTAGTTGTGGCCTAGTTACTTTAATATTGAAGATTTTTTCTATGATTTTTTAGCAGATGTTTATTCGTGATGGACAACAGATAAGGATATCCTAGGAAGGTGTAAGTCACACTGAATGTCCCAAATTAATAAACTACTGGTACAGTTGTGTGTTTTGGCCCTGGGAATTGGAATAACACATCACCACCTCACTTATATCGTATGTGTACCTACATTCAGTCTTGTGGTGCAATATGTGGACTACATTAGGACAGATATTGCACTTTGAACCCCATGTCTCCTATCTAGACCCCCACATCTCCACACTACAACTTTGGCTGAGCGGTAGCAAGGAAGCCCCTTTGCTTCACTTTGGGATTCACTCCACTCCAAGTGCTAATCCTACACCACCCCATGTCCTTCAAATGACTCCTCCCAAGCCGCCTGCACTATAAATAATTTGTTTGAAAGAAATGCAACCTCTTAGATGTGTGGTATCTCCGATATACTCCTCTTCATTTTCCATCACTCCACTCAGTGACTGGCATCTCTTGCTCTCAGACATTAAGAAACATAAGCTTAGGCTGGTTTATAATCTGTTTCTGACGAGTACTAAAGGTGCTTTTTGATTAGGCTGGATGTTGGGAACCATTTTAAAAAACCATATGCTGCTACAAACAGCCCATTTTGTTAAAGTACTACCCATGGTGGGAAATGTCACCAGACAATTGCTGCTTTGGTAAATTGCAGTGTCATTGGCAGGCAACCACAGCTTGCAGAAGTGCTAGTGAATGTCCAGATGCTCAACTGCTGAATGGTGGTCAGAAATGTTACCTCGCAGTCCCGATGCTAGTTAACTGCGTCTGACCCTCAGGCCTCCACTAATATAAGAGCTTTCCTGGCCTAGGTGTGCTTTGTGTTAATATTGAATCGTGGGAAACACAGGTAAGGTTACAAGTCAAGACAGATATAGGCTACAGATGCTTCATGCATATTGCAAACTCTGAATGACCTAATTTTAGATTGGGATGGCGTAGTGGGGTGGGATGTTCTGTCTCTGGTGACAGCTAGCGTTTCTCTCTGCTGGCAGCTCTGTTTATGAGTTTAAAGAGATGAAAGCACAGGATATGAACTATATGGGAACATCTTGTCATCTTGTGTGGTACACATTACTGTAAAATTAATTTAAATCATTGATTGTACTGAGAATGCATTTAAAATAGTCCACTCCTTCCTCCCATAGTAACTTCTGTATTAGGAGTATGAAACATCTGGCTCCAAGTTTATAATTGATCAATAGCACCTTTTGGAGAAATTAATCTAAGCATTGGTATATAAAAAATGAGTGCACATCTTGAGGCACTGTGCTTAATATGTATCACTGGACTAACACACACTTGCATTTGTAATTACAACATTTACACATATACCATATAACATATACAACACACTGTCTCTCATTCGCAGTGTCACTTCTTTATTCAAACCACTATTTCCATACATTGTTTGTATCTTGACTCCCCCGCTTCCTGTTCTCCCATAATCATGTAAAGCAGCATGCTCACAACAAGTTTGTTGTTTATTTCTTTCTGTGGATCACTTCATAGATCAGAGAGGTTCAGCTGCACAGGCCAAAACCATGCAGTTGATTGCAGTTTTCTTTAATTTGCATTGCCACACGTTCTTAAAAGAAATGATAAAGTAGTCCTCAGCAACTTGAGAAAAGTTAAACACAGTTTATGCCTCTACGCACTTGTATACTGAAGCATATTGGCTCACAAAAGACTATGGGATGACACATTATAAAGGGACAAAAAGCTCTAGAAACTGTCTCTCCCATGCAGACTAGAATAGGACCTACACCATGTGCCACTGCTGCATGATAACGTGTAAGTTGTGGAACCTACCAGCCCTCATTAATACTGCCACTGCTCATAGAGCAACTACCATAGTACACAATCCCAGCCACCCTCTCAACTCATGCTTCACCCTTCTTCCATCTGGCCGTAGATACGGACAGCTGCTCTACAAAAAGGCACGCTTTGGAAAAAGTTTTGTACCCTGCGCTATAAGAGCGTTAAACTCACAGACAAGTTAACAATGTCATTCCTGTGTTATATGTGTACACATGTGTGTATTGTCTGTATATGTGTACTATGTGGAGTTTGTGTGTAGAACTCACGCTGAAGGTGCTCTTTGTACACACTGTGAAAACAAATTTCCTCCACTGAGGACAATAAAGAATGAATCTGAATCTGATGAATCTGGAACAAAAACAAATCCTCTCCTTTTTGTAAAATGCCTGAATATGATAAAAGCCATTTGACCTCAAGAGTTTCCAGGCAACTGTACCACAGCTGTTGACCCTTTCAAACCAAAAGAAAGAACCAGAACCTTTCACGACCTGTACCTGTATCTTCCCATCACAGGACGTAACGAGCCTCTGAAGAAAGATCGTCCCAAGTGGAAGAGCGACTATCCGATGACAGAGGGTCAGTTACGGAGCAAACGGGATGAATTCTGGGACACGGCGCCAGCATTTGAAGGCCGCAAAGAGATCTGGGACGCCCTGAAAGCTGCGGCTGTGGCCCTGGAGTGTAACGACCACGAGCTGGCACAGGCTATAGTGGATGGAGCTAGTATCACACTGCCACATGGTGAGGACAGAAAACATGTAGATCGCAGAAACACACATTTCTTTCCGTATATGCAGTGCACAGAATGACATTTTGTCTTCAACGCCCCCCCCTCCAGGTACTCTCGCAGAATGTTACGATGAACTCGGGAACCGCTACCAGCTGCCCGTCTACTGTCTGGCTCCACCAGTCAACCTCATCTCAGAGCGCAGCGACGAGGACCCCAGCGACAGCCCCGAACCCCCTGTAGCACCGAAGAAGGAATTCCAGCTCAAGGTACTGTGACAAACACAGCTCCTAAAATTCTTACATGGCTGTTTTTTCTCATTTTATTGGGAGTTGTCTCATCTTTTTTATTAATCCACATACATGAAGTAACATGTATTAAAAACTATTGGATGTATTGCCATGACATTTTTTTGACATTCATGGTTCCCATCAAATGAATCTCTTTCCTTTTCCGACAAACATTGATGGATTTGATACAAACATTTATGCCCCCCTTAAGATGAATTGTTAAAAACGTTCCAGATTCAGTTTTTAATCTGCTGCTTATTTAAACCTTTGACCGGTGTTGATGTCCACACTTCCTGTTCCCCGCAGGTACGGCTCTCCACGGGCAAGGACCTGCGCCTCAGTGCCAGCATGGCCGACACCATAGGGCAACTGAAGAAGCAGCTGCAGGCTCAGGATGACATCGACGCCACCCACCAGCGCTGGTTCTTCTCTGGGAAGCTGCTCACAGACAAGACGCGGCTGCAGGACACTAAGATCCAGAAGGACTTTGTCATCCAGGTCATCGTCAACCCGCAGGCCCTCCAAGCCCCCAAGCTGTCACCCACCACCACTGCCTCCTCGCCTTCATCCGAGTAATTGAGGACACAGAGGACGGATGGAAGGACAGTGCCGTGGGTAGAGAGGATGGTGGCAGGCAGTAAAGGACCAGAGGTGCCTCCTTTTGTCTGGATAAGTAGTTAGCTTTTTGACAGCTACTGAAATAAAAATCAAACTGTGGAGGTACAAAACTACTTTGGAGCAAAAACATGAGGGAGAAACTCAAAAGTGCTGCTTTCTTTCATCTACCATGTGTCATTGTATTTTTTGGGGTCTGCTGGGTTGTTCTTTAAGTGAATCCAGTCAGCACACTAATTCTAGAGATCCTCGTCTCCGTGTCTCTTTGAATCATCTTGAATAACAGCAGAACTTATCATGCTGGTGTGCAGCCTTTCAACCACATAATCAGCACATCATGCTGCTGATGCAGACTCTGCCTCTGCCTTTGTATCTGCACTAATGCTAACTAAGTGCCAATGGAAGAAATGCAGAGGTGCTTGTGTTGGTTCTAAAGCACATTTCTACTATGACGCCCATGGACACTGCAATTCTCCTCCACAGAAACAGGAGGGGGCTGGCAGAGAGTGAGATACTGAATATTTCTTTCTTTTTTCCCCCCCCTTCATCCTTTTATTGATGAAATAATGTAAACTGAGCTTTTTTGCACATTTGAAGATTATTACTATACTTTTGTGGTAGTTTGTGTGCCTTCTACAAGACGAAACAAAAAAAGGGTTAATGTCCTGAAAGACGTTAGTTTTACCGCTAGGCTAAGACTAAGTATTTTTTTTTAGATTCAGGAACTCTTAGATCAATTCTAAGCTATAACTGCTGCCTTTTTTAAATGATTTCATGAATCTTGCAGACAAAACATTTGGTGTGTGTGTGTGTGCTGTGTGTGTCTGTGTGTGTCTGTGTGTGTGTGTGTGTGTGTGTGTGTGTGTACTAGGCCAATATCATACTCTTCAGTTTGACATAGCTCACAGAGATAAGACTGTTTCCCTGGTGTATCAGTCATTGCAGTCAATCATATCATACTGTCTAGAGAAAAAGAAATTTCCATGCAAAAATGGTCTTAAGCTGCATTACTGATCACTTAATGAAGCCCCCTCCCCGACCACTAGGGGGCAGCAACACAGCCCTGATATATTCTGTTCAGTTGCTTAGGGCTAGTTGTCCTTTTTCTCGTCACCTGATGAATGTAAATCCAGTATTCATTCGCCTTTTGATTCTTGATGTGGTCCAATATGTGTCACGTTTGTCTGTTACATCTCAATGTTTGCCTTTCGTCACCAGCATACACACGGCTTGTGTTCAATGGCTGCCTACACGTTTTATATGTGGGATTGGTGACAGCCATTGGGAGTCTATATGGAGCGGTGAACCAAAACAATAAGCTGAGGTGTTGATTCTCAGTGGAACTGGCAGTACTAGGAACTCCTACAGGAAGAAAAATGTTGATTACAAGTTTGAAAAGTATAGGCGTGAGCATGCAGCAGGCTCTAACCTAAGACCCTATCCAGCTGTATTATGGGAAATGTAGGACCCAGGTTTTTTTTCATTAGCTTGACCCCATACAAGAAGTCCACATATCTCTGCCATGGCTGCTTCTGTTTTCACCGTTATTTTTTTTTATCTGACTCTTCCAAGTCCTCCAAGTTTATGGAAGTTTACTAAATCTCCAGAGTACCCCTTTAATGAGCTGTAAGTCGCTTGAGCACAGCTGAAATGACAATATAACATTTGATTGGACACTGTTAAATTCGTAGACAACATGTTGGACAAGTGACAGTAATTATATTTTTTTCCTGACAAGACAAAACAAAGCAAACTTATCAGCTTTATTTTTGTAATGACCCTTTTCACTTCACTTGACTTCAGACAGCATAGTGCAAACACTGTACCACTGCGTAGACATTAGTCTTTACTAATGTTTGGTCTGGAGGGCAGAGACTATTTGTTTGTAACCACTCTTTTTCAAACAGCGGGTCAATTCTTAATTTTGACACTGAGCAATGTCAGCCTTTTGCCTGTATATATTATATATAGTACAGCTGCAGTGACTACGACTGATCATTGTTGTATGGCAAATATAATTTTTCTGATGGAAATGAGCCTCCAGCTTTGTCACCGACCACAGTGGCTGCCAGAGGACAGAAACATGTCAGTCACCGCCTTCAATTTATGCTGGCAGTCCTTGGCTCAAGTTCCAATTATGCCTGACAGTCTAAGTGGTAGAAACACATTAAAATACTGTGGCTACATTCAACTGCAGCTCAAATTGCGCAGTTTAGACATCATTGCTCCCGTGGATCATTTGGACATGTAAGAAATAATTTATCTGAACTCTGAAAGCACAATAAAGTTTTTGCTTTTTCAGTTGGAGACATTTATTATACATTTCATACTTGTCAGCTTTTCTGAGAAGTGTGTTAGCATTTAAGGCAACATGACACAACTATGGGAAACGGATGACTTTTAACCACCGCTGATGTTAAATACCACAGAATCTTCTTTGAAAACAACAATCTAAATTTATGTGGATGAATTGTAATCACTTATGATCCTTTTACATTTGTATCCATCATCAGGTCCAATATCCAGTTATCCAACACTTTGGTTTATGACCAAATAACCCTAACCCTTGCCTTCTAGAAATTTCAAAGAGGGGACTTGAAACCACATGTACTCTATCCCAGAGAGGAGAAGCAAAGATACAAAAACCCTTTCGCTCTGCTTGTTTCGCTGTCACTTCCAGGTCCTATCGGTGTCAGATCTGACTGGGTTACATCCCAGAATAGAACCAAGACCTGCTTTGTGAATGTAGCCTGTGTTGTGCTAGTCATGTCTGATTTCCCCCAAACACACTAGTAGCTTGATGTTGCATTGTTTTCATTCACCGCTCCTGTCACACAGTTCTCTAGCAGTATATGATCATGGAGGGAATAAAAGTGAACCATCAGTGTGAAACCTAACTGAGCCACAGCTCGCCACATCAAGAAAATGGTTTCTTTTAAAAAGTAATTTCACCCTTTTTTTTTTGTCTCTTTTCTATCCAGTTTCAGCTAATCACAATCACCCTTTTTGATTATTTCCAGGCCTTCTTTGCCTTTTCTTATAGCAGTGGTTCTTCTGGGGATATTTCTTAATCATTGTATGCAAACTTGAATGAGCATTTTCTCTGTATGTGCAATACAATAGACATAGACCTCATATCATTTTTGTTTTGTTCCTCTGACTCTACAGATTTCTATGAGTATTGTTAAAGAAATGTCAAGTACAGGCAGAAGCCTGCTATAATCAGACGCCTCTGTCAGCTGTTTCAAATGTTCATGTTTGTCCCTTTGAAATGTATTCTAAGCTGTCGTCTTGACCATTCAGATGGGCTCTCACCTTTTAACAGAGTAAATATCTAAACATTAAAATAAAAAAATGCCTACACAACTCTTCTCTCCCGGTGTCCGTTCAGCGCTCTGCCCCGCGCGTCTCGGCTGTGAAGGTTAGGGTGTCATTGAGCCTCGGGGTGGAGGGGGGAGGGGGGAAGCTTTGTTGACAACTTTATCAATAGCGTCTCCTGTTACTGCGTCCTTGCTGAAGTGAGCCATGGGTAGTGTCCCTGTGCTTGTCCTCAGCTCATATTAGTAACAGGCAGTGGCCTTTGTTTCGTGTCAAACTGTAAGGCACAAGATATTTGTACAATGTAAAATTAAAAGGGCTTGAGGAACTTTAAGGTGTTCCTCCAGTTGCAACCATCAGAGAGCTCCAGAGGAAACCCTCTTATTGACGGTTGTAGTAAAACCAGTCTCTTTGCCACTAGCAATTCAGTATGGAGCGTCTCTTTGTTTTAAGGGAAGGGCATACAAATACATAATAATGTGCTGCTCCCCTTTAACGTGCTATAATATAGATAGATGTGCATATTTTTGAAGGAGGATGGAATTACTTTGTCTAAATCCACCAGTTTTAAAAAGCTGTAGCAAAAATCAATCTCCAAATAAAGTTAAATTACTATGTTTCCTCCATTCTCCAACACTTCTATTTAGATGTAGCAGAGTATGTTAAGGTCTTCATGAAAAAGGCATGTTATTCTAGCTGGCTAGCTGGTTGGAGCTATTCTGTTATATTAATGCCACTCTGTAGAATGTTTATGTGAGCTTTCAAATTATTCAGACAGCATATGTTTTATATTTGTTGGACAATTAGAACAAAGCAGGAGAGCGAGGGATGACAGTCCTGAGAGGATTTCTAATCTAAGTGCAAACACCTGTACGGGTGGAGCCTGCAGGACCTTAACTCTGTTACTTCCACTCCAAAACACACTGTTGAAATTCACTAGTTTATTTCTAATGCAATGTGCAATAAATGCTTTTTCTCCATCCTTAGTGCAGCACAGATACTTGTACAGTAGCTCATGTTGGGTAATGGTCAAACTCTGTGCCTTAAATCTGACTCATTGTCAGACACAGAGGTCCAATTCGGCCTTTTCAACCACCAGTAAATTAAAAAGGGAAAAAAAAACCACAGCAAATGATTTCAAATCTGTTTTTCCTAGTTGATTTTTTTTATCTTGCCTATTCATTTGTCAGCATTGTAAGCTAAAGGTATGTTATTAGTGTGTCTCCAACAACTTCACCTCAGTTATGATTTTTTAAGGCACGGACTCTGCGAGTTTCAGCTCTCAGTTTAGTTCCATCATTTTAGTAAAGTTTAGAAAGCATCTCTGCGATTTTTCACCCAAAAAACTGAACTCAAGGTCTGGTTGCTAGCTTTTTTCCACACTGTCAACACACACCTTCCTCAATTTTTTGACTTGACTTAGAGGAAATGCACGTCTTCATTCAAATGTTTCTTTGGTACAACGCTTACATGACAACCAATGGCAGAACATACACCCCTTCTCTTCTTTAAAAACTCAAATTCCCAGAAGGCATTGCAGTTAAACAAAGCCTTCACATAAAAACAGCCATAAAGCACCTCGGAAAGAAGAGAAATCTCATATGTTTTTAAAATGGTCCCTGTTGATGATTAATGAAACCCACATTTTATTTTACACTTGGTGTGTTCATTTATATGCTGATTTCATTTTCAATCATGTTTTTAAACTGTTGAATAAAATTTAGTGTGAAAAAATTCATATTCAACTAGTCGACTTTATTCTATATCAAGTCTCCATGCAAGAGAACGATATTTATTTTCACCACAAGATGGCGCTCAGCTCTTGTGCAAACACTCGAGTGAACCGAGGCTTCCTGGGCTGTGGGAGGAATGAAGGGAGATGGAACACACACAGATTTGTTTGTTTTAGCCTCTGACATAATCCGACATAAATCAGATGAGTTACAGTGTGTGTTCCCAACCTGAGAGTGGGAAAATGTGGGCCGTGGAAAAGTTGTTTTTCACAAAGACAAACTTTTGCATCTTTACCACAGGGTTTTGAAATTTGAATTACAGGACATGAGCTGAGAAAATTGCTCTTACATTTCCCAAAATGCCATCTGACCCCCCCTCAGAACAAGGCTGTGGACATGGTAGTTGCAATCAAAGGTGGCTTTACGGGCATATAAAAGGCTTGGAAGCGCTCACCTGCTGGTTGCACATGTGAACGAGTCACTCATACAGACGGTCAACATTTGGATTAGTTCATGTTTCAGCACCGCATTTCCCAGTAGCCACCTGTCAATCAAACAGCGTGGGTTTGAAGGTAACGGGGCTTTCTAGAATTTTCTCTTGATGGAGTTTCTGTAGGTGGCGCTACAGAATTACAACTTCTGAAGTGTTTGGAGCAGAAAAAGGATCAACTATGCTCGGGTTAACTATGTATTTTCTCATAGTGAATAGCCAGTAAAGGCCGTTCCTTACTGGTGAACCTACTACCCATTATTACTGTCATGGTGCATATTTCACAGCAGCTAACATCATCCTCTCAGTACACGGAGAGAGAACTTTTCAAGCAGTACAACTCTGTCTTTTCCTTGCTCTCACTCTCTGCATATACAGTCAACACAGGGTCTCCGGAGGGTTGTGGTGCACCGGGGCTGGAAAAAGCCCCTATTGACGGTGGAATTTCACAGGGAGCGCTGTGTTTGTGGTCACTCGCCCAGTCAGCCTTATTCTAAACTCTGTTCCCCCCACTGACAGACCCAGGATGACCCTGACGCCACAGCAGAGAGCTTGGAGGGTTTGGTTACGTCCTTGTCCCATGCCTGGTTGTTAATTTGACCTTGGATCTCAGTCAGTATGTTTTATGAAGTTCCCATAAAATGTGTGCATCTCATTTTCTTTCCTCTGCCTCTTTTCTGTGTGCAGCAAAACCTCCCGAGTGGACACCATAAAGTTTTACACTAATCCTCCCCAGTGAACTGCAAAGTCCACAGGCACAGTGAGGCCAACATTTACCCCTTATGTAAATGATTTCATTTAATTTGTCTGTGGATTTACATGCTAGTGGTGAATGGCTGTTAAAAAATAAAATAAACTGTCATTATTTTAGTTTAGTTTAGTTATTTTGTGTGAAATTTCCCCCAAAAAAGAGAAAACAAACCCAGCTTGTCATTCTGAATCACAAGTAAAGCTGCAACCACGCTGCACATTTGGCTACATTAATATGTGTTGCTGGTATAGTGGTAAGTCTGCCCCACAGGAAGTGGTGAATCAAAAGTGAGAGTAAAATAAAAACTGTCCAGACGAGAGAAAGCTGGACTGACCAGAAAATCTCCTGCATCGCCACCCCCACTGGACATAAGCACCATGTTCCCTACAACGCTGGAAATTCCCCGTTTATAGGCTGTAATTTCAACTTCTGTGGTTCCACTCCTACTGACCGTTAGCTTACCATGCTAATGCTAATGTTAATGCTAATGCTAATGCTAATCATCTGCAGGAGTGTTTGCTTGTTGGTGCCGACCATTGACGTTCGTATATCAGTGCGATAGCAGTTTGTATGACTCTTTTTTTGGTCAGGATGAAAAAGTACTTCAGTGTAAAACATTAGCTACAAGCAAAATAAAATCCAATCTGTAAGAACGCCACACACAAAGTGACTTCTGTTTAGCAATAACTATCTTTTATAAAGATGTTTGTAACATATGTTTGCATTGTAGCATTAGCAAGTTGTGGAAAACACACATTAAACATTAGCAGCTGATGTGTCGTTCAATATTAGCTTGTCATACGCGTTGTTGTCACTGAAGTTACGATGGCGTTACCTTCTCATTTTTTGAGTTTTTTATATTTTATGCATAGACTAGGTTTCAACACTGACAATAACAATACCAAAGCTTCGTTTTCAGTTTTATTCCCTTCTCCAACAGGCCTACACCACCTGCACTCTACCCTAACATGTTAGCCTTTATTTAGCTGATTTAGCACAGTATTTAGCACAGGTTGCTAACTGAAGTTAAGGATCTCAATTCTGGGACTCTCTTTCCATTGGCTGGCAGACCAGGTTCCCCCAGATATGAAACCATCCCCTGTCAACTCAAATTTCTCCTTATTTCCTGCCTTCCCTCACTCTTTTCCATCACCAGCAACTCTCTGTCAAAAATATTTGCTATTTTTCCTCTTGTCATAATTTTTCTTTAAAGTAAAAATTTTGACACAAACTCTGTACATTACGTAAAAACCTAGACTGAATTTGATTATACCGTCTGGGAGGAGAAGAATAAATTAGCTGTTGAACTGTTTCCAAATATTATTCGCTCCATAGCGGCAGTAAACACTTCAGAATTGGAAAATGTTCCTGTATTTCTCGGTAATGTTTCCTCGATTGTCCTCCTCTCTGCAGCTACTGGATCAGTGTCATGCTGGCTTGCTTTTGAACAAAAGCCACCATTATTTCTGCTGATCCCTTTCAGTGTAATGTGTACTTGATGTTAGTGAACCTTCAATAATCTCCTGCTCCGAATTACAGGAACTGGAGGTCATTCATGAGTCATCAGGATGTTTATGAGAGGAGTGTGTGTGCTCTCTGTGGGATAAATACAGGGGATTGTTATGCAAAGTAGAATTTGGTCCAGAATAACAGACGACTCGATCCAGAATAGTTGAAGAAGGAAAATCCTCTCAGCACAGTGATGGGAGAGTAGTGTGTGTGCGCGTGTTTTTGTTACCTTTTCCATTCAATCTTGTCTGGACCAGTTTCCTCATGGGGACCAAAGCCCTGTCCTGATGAGGCAAACATAATTTCTGGATGAATTCTGTGAACTGAGGTTATGGTCAGGTCAGGTCAGGGGTTTGTGTGTGTGTGTGTGTGTGTGTGTGTGTGTGTGTGTGTGTGTGTGCGTACATGTTTACATGCATACGTGTGCTCGTGGGGCTAGTTATGGTGGCTTTTAAAGCTAATCCCTGCTCTCACCGGACTCTCATCCACTTACCTAAATCTCACCCTGCGCGCACCTAAACCTCACCTAATACTATGGTGTATATGTGAGTCATTTAATACCTTGTACTGTAAACTACAACTGTGAACCTGGTCACCCCATGGCCTGACAGACCACGTCACAGTGCCCAGTGGGAGCTGAGCCAATGGAAGGTGTTACAAGAAGAGGCAGGTTTCCAAGGCTTAGCATGGCGGGAAGGTGTGTCTGGGTGTGTTTGGCAGGTTAAAGGTCAGAGGGTTAAAAACAGACAACCTGTTTTGCTGATATAGACCGAGGGACAAACAACACAGAAACATTTTCAACCATAGTGTCAGAAAAGAGTGAAAATTGTAATAACAGTTTACAACCATGCAAAGTTAAGTTGTTGAAAATCAAAAAGGCTCTCATCCACCTCACAATCAGGCAATGGCAGCAAGAAATCCATCTATAAAACAAAATAATTTGTGCTGTTTCCACTTTAACATTTCACAGTGGCTGACATTTCAGATTGAAGTTGTTATACCAGGCCTTTCCCATCTCACTGACACATGTAAATGCTGCGTTTGCCCAGATTTGCATATAGTCTACTAGTCTTCAGCAGCTTTTCATAAGTTGAAACATTGCCAAGTTGTAAAGTAGGTGTTACTTAGTAGAAAATTACTTCATGAATTAAAACTGGTGGCACCAAACATACTATATTTTACATAAATTTACACCTGCAAAGGTGTGACTTTTGCGTAGCTAAATGAACTGGTTAGCAATGGACAAAACATGTGAGCTTGCAAGTATAAGGTATGTCGGAATATGGTCAACATATCTGACCTGATACTTGATTGACATGTTTAATTAAGATGTAATCCAAAAATGTCCATGGAACACAATGATATAAAACTTAAAATGTTCTCGGAGAGTATCGTAAATATAACAGAAAATGGTATTTCAAATGTAATTTAAAGTCATACATTTCAATTACAATAAATATACTTTACGTTGTTCCATTTTAAAACAACTAAGTATATTAAAATATATTGCAATTAGCTTAAAATTGAACATTTCTCAAAGAACACTTCATAAACATCAGCCTTCAAGAGTGTTTGTCTCTGAAATGGAACACAGCTAGAACAACATGTAAAGAGGCCTATAACATAATAAGCTGCGACATGAAGAAAGTTAAGCTGTGACACAGCTTAACACCGAGACAGAAACCCAATTAACTGCACTCGCTGTCCAGGATCAACACACTGACAAGACAGTGTCTTCATCAGGCCAGAACCCCCCGCGCAAAGTCAGCCAAACACACATACACACACTCCTTCCCCATGCAGGTGAAACAAACTGATCAAATCCCCTAGAGCCAAAGCAACCATCTCCTCATTTCCAATCCTTGCCCTGCGGCCAATCAGGAGGCTCGTAGACAGCTCCATTCTAATCAGCAGACTGTCTCGAGGCTTTTACTGTACCAGACTGTAGCTTAGGAGAATCTCCCGATGTTCTGCTGGGTATTAGACGCTGATATGAGTACTATGAAAGGCAGATTTTCCCACAGCGGAGGGAAAAAGTGAGGCAGCGGTCACCTGGAGGACAGAGAAATGGATCTCTGACTGGAAGGGTGCAGGTTTGAGTCAAACTTGCTGGTAAAGTGACACAGAAATGTTCCTCTCCAGTGCAGTAATCACACAATCTTACAAAATTCAAGCCACTACAGCTTCATTTGGTCTGGTTTGACCAGTAGCTTATGGTGGCTAACATTTAAACATCTAAAGTTTGCTAATATTAG